TTGTTCTTATTGTTTGGTGGATGTTATAGGATACAAATTTGTTTAGGGGTTTTCTTGTTTTTGTTAAGTGTTATTTTTTTGTATCTATTGTGTATCACAAAACCCAAAAATAGTTCCTTATGAATATTGCAGGTTATTTATTCAAATATAACGAAGCGTAGTAAAAACACTTGTAGGTGTGTAAGATCATTTGAATGACTTCCCTTAAAATGTCACAACTAAAGATTTGTAGAAGAGGGCAACATATTTAATGAAAAGGAAAGAATCATAGCATTAAACAAGTAATGGAAACAACGGATTGGGTTGAAGTAAAGTTTTGGCAAAGAAGTATCATTATCTCTTTTTCAGTCATTAGAACGAGTAAGATAAAGATTCCTTTACGTTTTATAACTTGTAGTGGGAATCTCTTAAAACAAATCTTATACAATGTGTGTATCTATATATGAATAATATATAAATGGCTGATATACGTATTTTTATATGTTACAAATAAAAGTGTTTACTTTAAAATAAATACTAGTGCGGAAAGGGATGGAAGGGGGGGGGGAGATGTGTGGAGGGCTGACCTGACAGGTTGGAGAGGTGTGCATGCTATGGAACAAGGCAGCATAATAGACGACTGTGGTTAAGATCAAAATAAAATTAGAATGTAGTTGTCTTTTCAGGGCACTGTGATGATGCCAATGCCATAACCCAGGGAACAGCAAATTAGAAGCTTCGGTATTTGTACATTGCTGTCATCTAAAATCAGAGAACAACTGTTATGAGCTTGTTTCGTGTTTCTAACATTCCATTATTCTGTTTGCCTAGTGTTGAGAGTGCAGTATGCGGCAAAGAAGCCCCCTCCACACCCAAATGTCAACTACATTTTAATTTTATTCGTATGTCTAAATACCTGAGCTACGTCAGATAATCAGCTAGTACACAAGTAAAATACTACTGTCCACTGGAAAGGTATATCACGAAACTGTTTATACTTCAGTTTTTTACTGACCACTAAATTTTATGAATAAATTAATACATAGTTGCTATTATGACTTAGTTACGGTATATAAATGACAATTTTCTGTTCAATAGATCTATATATCATGCAGCAAAATCATAACAAATACATATGGCAAAACACCAACTAATTTAAAAATATCGTAGTGAAAACCTAAAACTGAAATTATTTTACAGCTGCTTGTATATCCTCTCGTTTATGAGTACCATCACAAAAAGGACGGTTTGAAGTCTGTTTACAATTGCACAACCAATATTCCTTACTCTCAGTAACAGTAAACTTGACAGGTTTCAATTTAATGTTCATGTGAGGATTTTTGTGGGTGCCATCACACAAAGGCTGTGAACAGAAAAGAGAATCAGATAACATACAGCACAAATTAATACATGTAAAAGTTCACTATGATGTTAATCTACATTATTAATTTGAAATTTGACTCAAAATATGTTAAAAAAGATCGTGAAATGCACGTGAAAAGTGCTTCATTGGAACCCGTTTTTGAATTGCTTATAGTTGAGTACAAAATTATTTATTTTGTTGTAGAATTGGTACATATACAGTAGAAAAATGTAGACTAGTTAAATTTTGAATTTCTGCGAAGGGGGAGGGCAATGGCGGACACTTCCGATTTCAACCGCTCGCAATTTTTCGTGTTTGTAGACTAATATCTCAGTTGAGAGACTAGATAAAATTTTGAAATTACTATATGTAAAAATTCACAATAGTGTTTAAATGCGTTATTAATTTCAACTTTGAAATTTGATTCAAAATGTGTTTTAAAAATCGTGAAATGTACGTGAAAAGTGCTTCATTGGAACCCGTTTTGTAATTTTTATAGTTGAGTACAAAATTTGACGTCAAGCTAGCACCCCCACTTTTGAGGGTCAATGGAAGTGTTTTTTCCCCGCTTATAGGCCAACTCGAACCACGCTTCAACATCCCTGCTTCAGCAGGTGCAAGTACATTTCTGGAGCGGATCAGCATTTTAGCAGAATTCCGATTTTCATTCTCCAACGTTGTTAGCCCTGGTGGTACGGACGACGATGATGGATGAAAGGATAGCACACACATATAGACGTACACAAATACACCCATGTCCGAGGCGGGATTCGAACCCGCGGTCTCCTGATCCGAGGCAGTTACGGCACTACTGCTCAAACAATCTCAGCCATCTGACCGGCCAAAGGAAGTAGTAGAGTACAGGTTTTAAAAAATACTTTTCTTTAAAGGCCACACAACCATGAACAATACAGAAATTGCAAGATTATTGAGTTTCGGACTTATTGCACTTAAAATAGTTTTTAAAGTGAGTGAAAACTGTAAATAAAATACAATAAAAATTATAAATTAAAATTTTGTTCCTTTCTTCCGCATCAAAAACAGTTAAAACAGAGTATGACATACTATATATATTGGAGGTATATTCTGCCCACATTTTCCTGAGTTTTGTGCACGGTGGGAAGATGTAGGTGATGTAGATATAGGTCCGGCGCACCGATTTTTGCTCGTTCTAAGCAGCACCAGTTTGCGTTACGAACCACGTGACCACAACACGGGCACTTCGTTTAAAAAGCCACCTCAGATGCTGGCCGCCATGTTGCATGGAGAGTGATAAGTGTTCAGAAATATTTTGAAAGTGGCATAAAATGATTATTTTGAACAGAGAACAGCCAAAAATAACACGAAGCTGTAATTGAAATAAAAGATGCAACCTTTTTTATTTCAATGACTTATAACGTGTTAATTTTGGTATTTGGCTGTTTTTAAAACTCCAGCTAATATTGTGAAGCAAACTCATGCCTGCAGCTAATTCGCTGATGGATACGATGTGCAATAGCTCACCCATCGGTTTTCACCATGTACCTTCATGTACCATCCCTTCACCGTACCTACACCTAACACAAGTTGTAATATGACTACAGGTGGAAAACGAATGTTTGGGAAATATGTGATACGAAAATATTCGCTCCCACGTAATAAAAACTATGTGCAAACGTAAATTATCAGCAGATTTTGATTGTTAAGCCTTATTGTGCCTTTCGCGAAGAATCGACCAACTACCGCAATAGCATGGAGAACGATTATTTGAATACTCTCCTCGAACTTCGCATAACCTGTAGGTTACATAACTTTTGTTTATCATTTGTTTCAAACAATTAGGTCAATTCCGATTATTTTCGAGGCATTGTTTCGTAGCAGGCAAATTTTGTAGATTGAGATTATAAAAGCGTTACCTCTAGCAATTATGAACAATAATAGAAGAGGCGGGGAGGTAGATATATGGCTAATTCTTTACTTGGGTTTTTATAACCTGGCACTTAACGTAAATCAGTTGTTGGCGTTTTCATCAAATCGGAAGCTTTAACATCACCATGATGGCGTTCAAGCTTTCAATTGCATGACACCGTAACTGCTGGTTTACGTCAAGTGCCAAGCTATGAAAACCCACGTATACATCTTTCTGCGACGTGGCGCTTTCTCAGATTTCTTAGAAAAGTCGCTCTTCTCACAAGGTTTTAATTTCCGTTTAAGGCAAAAACAAGTGATTTTAAGAAATGTTTCTACGAAATTACAAACACACTTGTTTAATAGCAGGTTTTTTTTTTTTTCCCGAAGTTCTCAAACGCATTCACACCCTACTGCGGAACTTTTCAACAAGCGGCGCGAAACTGATCTGGTCATTGGCGAACTGCTTCGTGTTGCTTGCGCAAATTCTGCTTGCGGGAAACTCATCTGGTAGTCATTGGCGAACTGCTTCGTGTTGCTTGCGCAAATTCTGCTTGCGGGAAACTCATCTGGTGGTCATTCGCGAACTAGGTATTTCGTGGGGACAGTTTTGCCAACAGAAATTCAATTGCATTTCAAGTCTAGTTTGCTTGTGAGGTAGATTTGGTGGGTGGATAGATGCATTTCATGAGATCACGAACGTTTTACACTTGTGAACACAAGGTTCCGAGGACACGAGAAAAGTTTGTTTGTAAACGGGCTGGAATTTTTAAGTGAGGTAGGGCACAAATTTAATAAAATTATTTTAAAAAAACAAAGAAAGTTTGGAAATGAGTAAAATCGATGCAAAAACATCATTGCCATTGTGTGTCATAATTAAAGTGTAGTTTGTTGTTTAAATTATATTTTGTAGTTTAAGGTATTTAAAACAATTTTACCAAAACAGTTTACAGCAATTAGCACGGTTAGTCCTGATTTTTAATGTAACTTAATGTAACGTCAATCTTTATTAAGAGGATACCTCAATAACGGTATATTTTGCCCGAATAATTAGTGATCACTGAATACAGTTTTTACTGTATTTTTAATTGCGGTCTTCGCTGTAGAAGGAGGAGAGATTGGCTACCATAAGTAGATCGTCATTTATGGTTCAATGTGTTAAATTTTGAATGCCTAAAAGCTGCATCAACAATTTGGCAATTAAAAAAACACACAGCTTTTCATAGTCTGTTTTACCTTTTATTATGCCACATAACACAAAATAATAATTTTTGCCGGCCCGCGGAAATATCAAAATTTAGCACGCATTAATAAAATAACGGAAGTTTTGATATAAGATCATTTGGACTGAGCGATGATACAAACATTGTCAGAACAGGCCACAACGGCTCAAATTGAAATAGATATGATGTGTTCCCCAAGTTATTATTTTAAATAAACAATAATTTGCATCATTTCTACACATCCGATAAATACTTTGTTAAGATAATTATTAATAGATACCTGTCTCTTGCTTCTTCCACACAAACACCAATAGTATTCCTTAGATGTTTTACAAATCATTTTAAAAGGCTTTTTGTCATAAATGAATCCATTTCCACTCTGTTGGGAGGCACTATTGAATTCTGCAGCAGGATTTTTAGGCATCAGATCTTCATTTTTCTTTTTTAAAATATTACCAGTTGAAAACAACACCTGGAATTTATTATAATTATATATACTTCAATTTTAAGTTCAAGAAAACGTCCAATTAAAAAGCACTTAAACATTTTCATTGGCTTATAGTAGCCTTCATAAATCCTACAATATAAAGTAACAAATAATACTTAAAAGATTTTCGAAACTTTCCTGTGTACTATAATTATAATTTATAATTGAAAATTATTGGTAGTTCTACACATTAACATGACGCCAAATTTTGTACTTGCAGTCGGTATTGAGAAGACTGAAAGATTTGCTTTGAATTGATACAAGGAATTATTTCTTTGAATATTTTTGTAAAATTGGATTACTATGCTTGTGTAAAATGGATTTCTCAGAAAGTGAAACTTCTCACTGAACTCTACATCAACACTGCATCTCACAATTGTAGGTCAAACGAAATTTTATAAAACAAGTCATGAATTATTAACATTTTGAAAGAGAGGGAGAAAAAACAAACATCAGTTTTTAGAACTGCTGTTAATATTGATTGCAGGAACTACATTTTAATAATAATAATAATAATAATAATAATAATAATAATAATAATAATAATAATAATAATAATTTCATTTTTACGAGGGAAATGCAATTCTAATGAACATTTAGAGGGACCATACTCCTGAATAGTGTGCAATTCTCACCCACTAAAACCACGAGCCTTTTTCCGCAGAAGGACGTCCATTCTCAAACTGCTTTCGCATTGCTTCAGAATGGCGTCTGATTTTTTACCAACGGAGTACATCTTCATATTATTTCGTTTTTCTCCGCTGTCATTTGCTGAAGGTATTTCCATCTTGATGCAGATACCCTTCTCGATTTATACTCCGATTTACGCGTAGAAGGAACTTCAAAATCACGATCTGGAAGGAGAGGGGCACATTGTCGTCTAATCGAGAGCTCGATTCCAAAAATCGTAAAAACAAATAAGTCGTAACGAATCTCCTGATAGGATGAGAGTGCCTTCTCTTCGTTCAGCTCTTGACCTTCACGTGCCACAGGGTTTAAATCTGAGCATAGGTGACTATCTCGTACCAATTTGCTTCATTGGCGTGCAATGTCCCAACGATGCTGTCGAGAATTAACGTCCCATTGCGTTGTTCTAAAATTTTCTGTCGATTGCTTCTTTCTCGCAAAGAAAGTGTATTCGAGGTCGTCTACTTCTGTTGGTGTCAGTATACACATTCCTCACTAATTACTGTTCAAAATCTGGTGAAGATATTTACGGAAATATCCGTGCCCGCTTAGGAACCACCGAGTCTTTATTTTTACCTCGCAACCCATGTCTGGGAACACCTGTTCTTGTTTCTTGGCAATTTGTCAACGCGTGAAATGCCTTCCATTTTTTCCCTTTAATAGTGGTCCTTTAATAGCGTGCCCTCATATTTCGGGCCGAGAGAATGCGCCTATTTGAGTTCAAAAGACACAACACATTTTCTGTCCTAGGGCAGTCGTTCATTCTCGTTTCATTCATGGACGTAAGAACTCACATTTTTTTTTTTTTTTAATTTGCCTTATTTTACCTGCGAGACTCGGGCCATCAGGCCCGCTCTTCCGTCTGACCAGGCAAATTTCGCTACGCTCCTTTCACCAACTAGCAGAGAGGAGGTATTTCTTGGGCGAGAAACAGGCGATTTGAATTTAGCTCAGAGGCGTCATTTAGGCTTGAGGATCTTTTACATGCAAGTAAATCTACGAACATGGGAGAGCCGGCTTTACTTCCCCTCCGAAGGAAGGCGTACGAAGGATTTTTTCGCCCTTAAAAATCCACGGCTTCGATCGGGTTTGAACCCGCCAACTTGGGTTTTTACAACATTTGGCAACATTTAGAAAAGAATTGCTTCGAAAATGTTGACGAAGGATGAATGGCGGAAGCTTACTTCGGCACTAAATCGTTAGTGCCAGGAATTGTTTCAGGAAACATTCCCAGAAATGTCAGTTCCTAACAAGCCAACTATTTGTAGAATATTCCATGGTGGAAAGATGGGTGGGGTACTCCGGCGCACCGACTTTTGCTCGTTCTGCGCAGAACAAGTTTGCGTCACGAACCACAACACGGGCATTCCGTTTGAAAAGCCAGACCAGAAGCAGCCATGTTGCATGGAGTATGAGAAATGTTGAGAAACATTTTGAAAGTTGAATTTACAACGGTGACCAACCAAAACTAACGCGATGAAGGTGTAATTGAAATAAAATATACAATGTTTTTAATTTCAATGACAGTGACAATGACAAGGTGATAACCTGGCTACATTTAAAATTCCCCAAACTGATGCATGAAGCTCATTGGCTGAAGTACACGACGGTCGGACACGATGGACAAACAAGCTCACCCATGTCTTTCCACTATTAATCCAGCGGTTAGCTGACACAGAGAACTTCATGATTAGCGAGCAGTGTCGCAGTCCCACTGTTTTAAAGGAGAAGTTACGAGAAAATCAGGAGGTTAACTATCTTGAAACTTCGCTATTGAAATTGTATCAGTAGTGCGACGTTTCTCTCATCAGCGCATATGGTGTAACGAACAAATCGGAAAGAGATCTTACGAGTGGCAGACCCTTCAAGAACTTAAAGACACAAGGCAGGGATACGTATTTCTGCCATTTTAAGGAATTTGACATTTTTTAAAAAATGCATTATTTTTTATTATCTACAATTGTTCATTTTACAATGAATAATAATTTTTATAAATATTTGTATTATTTTTATTAAGATTTTATTTTATTTTCTGGTTTCATAATTATTATTGTTGTTCACACATATGCGGCCAAACTAATTTGAGGCCATACTGGGAATTCAATCATTTATAACAACTCTTTGACGCTAAGTAAGAGCAAAGAACGTACACAACGTATCGCGGCCAAATCCGCACGTCTTCCAAAAAGCGTGATCTGGGCTGTCCGGGTGACGCCGCGTCGAAGGCTGTGTTGCCGACGTTTCGACCATCCTGTCGTGGTCTTCCTCAGGGATGGTATCACGCATATGACACTGACCGCGGAAGCCTACGACTTTAACTTCCAAAAAGGAAAGGGATTCATTTTTCCGCGTGAAACTCTTTGAAGCGGACTTTGAACCGTTTTCAAAGATGACCGGAAGATTGCGCCACCGCCACCCAATCATATTGTTGAAAATTCAGAGTGGCCGAGTGATTTCATAACGGATGCCTTCGCCAGAGTAGAAGCTAAGTAATACGCGTGTCTTGACTGCACTGAAGGTTGTTTTAATATGTAGTGTTGGTATTACATTTCTGCAGCGCGTTTGCGCGCGAATTCCATTACATACGAGAATTACAAAAATAACGCTTTACTTTTGCTCAGACAAAGGTAACACTGGCAATTTCTTCAAACCTTAATGACTCTCACGCCAAGGCGCTAAACGTCTTCATTATCTGACGTTTTCAGAAACTTCCATTGTCAAAGGATTAGAAAGATGTGTAGCAGTTTATGATACCCTCAAAAGCTCTCTCAAAATATTCAGGCTACATTTCGCAGCCTCAACAACTGTAAAAAATTATAGTCAAGAGCTTGGCGAGAATGTTTCACGGCATATCTTTCTGATCTCTCTGCGCCGCCTTTCATTAAATGATTTGTTACGTTGCAATTAATAAATCAATATCCCTCCATATCTTCAGTATCGCAGTTTTGTTTCTTGAACATACTGGACAAAATTGCGTAAAGGGGTTTTGTTCGTCTGCTCATGTCCCTGCCACTCTATCCTACCTTTCGTGGCTTAGCCCGAAAGGATTCCGGTTTTTGAGCCTCGTACTTGCCCGTCCAAAGCCTTGAATGGGAAAAAGTCAAAGCAGGAAACAAAGCAGATTACGAACTGACTATTACTTCCTCCGCTTTCCCAACGTGCCAGCCTCGGCTGTCTTCGATGGAGGCACGATTGCCAACTGCCACAAGAGCAGCTTCTACCGGACATCCATGGTGGAAACATACGAGTGAGTTCCTCCGGCGCACCGGTTTTTGTTCGTTCGGCGCAGCATCCGTTTCGTCACGAACCACGTGACCACAGCACAGGTACTTCGTTGGAAAATCCAGACCAGACGCTGGCCGCCATGTTGCATGGAGAGCGAAAAGTGTTGAGAAATATTTTGAAAGTGGTACAAAGTGACAATTTTCAACCAACAATAACACGATGAAGGTGTACAAGATGCAACATTTAAAAGAAATGTTCCATAAATATGTTTCAAAGACTTGTAACAAGGTAATCCGCTTGTAATCTGGCTGCATTTAAAATTCCCGCTAATATTGAGATGTAAACTGGTGCCTAATAAGGGATACGATGCGCAAGAGTTCCCCTCCCTGCGGACATCGCTTGCGAGATAAAATAAAAACCGAGTATATCGTAGAGTAGGGGACTTCGCCGTGCTTGCGTCTACGTCAAGCCCTCGTTGCGAAGTCCATCTCCCTCGGCTTCCGTTCTCTCAGCAGGGGAAGCGACGGCCGGGAGGGTGAGTCGGAGGTTCTTCGTTGAGAGGAAACGTTCACCTGTACCCCAGTTTCTCTCCGGTGCGTTGGTCGTTTGCACCAAGTTAAGGGCAGTGAGGTGCTAAGCTCCCGGTTACTCGGGCTTGCCTGGTAACCCACCAGTTGGGCCTCTACCCACGGACCCTTGGAGGTCGGACTTAGTACGCATAGAGATGTCCAACGAGGCCGTCAGAATCCATCACGTTTCTCTAGTTTCCAACGACACGTCTTTCGTGTCAAGGGGGCGCAGTGAGGAGACGGGTTATGGGCTTAGTCCGGGTTGGACATTTGGCATCGCCGTGGCAGTGCCCAAATTCGTGAGTATTGATTAGGGTTCACTCGGCGCATTGTGAGAAGCGCTTAATTAGACTCCGGTGCTAGTCCTGAGCTGTCAGGGTGGCCCTATCCAGGCTCAACTGTGGAGGCGACCCCGTGGGGTGCTGCGTTCCGACGGATCAGGCTACTACCCCAAAGACGCACTTGAACGCCCGCGGGGGGGGGGGATAAAGGGCAAATAACAAGGGTGCTTGCCTTGGGGAGAAAAACCCTCGCGGTAATTCAAGCATGTATGGAACAAAACACCACGGGAGTCCAATGTTCTGCCAGCGTTCCAATGTAGGAGCTTTGGCTCCTCTAGGGTCTCGTCGGCTTCTCAGTTAAGTCTTCGTCTCAAACATGAGCTTCCTTTCCTTCCAAGGAGATAGGTGAGTATGACTTCAGCCACCAACCTCACCACAGGTTCAGGAACGGTTCCGTTAGAGCAAGCAACCCTCAGTCCTCCTTTCCTATGAATCGCAGTCTGAGATGGTAGGAGTTTTTTTCTCTCTTTTTTTCAAGTGCGCATCCGCCCGTATTTCCGATCTATACACAATGATGAGTCACAGAGTTTGCTCAGTGCATCAGTCACTTCTGGGGCTTTGTCTGCCGCTCGCCTTATTTATTCACCGGAGGCGAGTTTGGTGAGTCTAACGTGGAGGTGCGGACACTTCACGAAAGGCTTCGTCCCGATAACACCAGCGCCGCCAGTCCTGGGGACCAGCGTCGGTGACAAGATGATCCAGCTTTCATTTTCCCAAAGAGACGATCTCCTTCTTCTCAGAAGATAGACTGAGTCCCTGGTCTTCATCCACGCTCCGTCTCGTAGCTTGTTTCCAGTGGATTGACTGTTTCGTGTTTCTAGACAAGCTACGGTCACTTTTCCCGTAAGTGTAGTGCACGTGCTTATCAGTCAGTCCCTCGCTGCATAGTGAGATTCGGCGCCGACACACGCCTCGACTTGCTCGTACATTACCATCAAGATATATCCCACCAGCGGGGCACCACGCCAAATGGAACAAGTTCTAAGCTTCCGACATATGTTGTAGTGTCGTGCATGTAAGTAAGGGGTGAGGATTTTTTGTCTCAATCGTCGGGCGGGTTGTTTTGTCTTTTTAATTTATTAATATGTTCTCACATTCACAATGAGATGAATATAGCTCACTTCATCTTTATGCAATTTTAACGATTTTTTTGTTTTAGTCCTAACATTTTATTTCCAGTTTCTTTGTTTTATTCACCTTCTTCTGAACAATCTCACCAAAATTTGTAATATTTGTAACACACATACCATAAAGTATATAATTGTTTGGAAAAAGCAAGTTGTGAAGAGTATGCTAATGTCTTGTAACAACATTAGCTTAAAATTTGGTAATATCTTACTGATGACCATCGTGTGTGTGATGTATATTACTTTATGGAAGAGACCCATGGAAATCAAAAGACTTCTCGTATTGATGCTACTGTTTAGCAATCTGAGCAAGAGAAGGGCAAGCAAAAAAACAACAACAACAGTGAATGAGACAGATACAATGACATAAGAGTTTTCAACAAGTCAAACCAGTTTAGGTGGGTCAGAGCATCAATTGATGACTCTGAACAGAAGGTTCTAGGTTGCGAGACTAAAGTGACGGGAATTTCGACACTACCTAGGTAGCTAAGTAGAGTTCAGCTGTTGTCTGGAGGAATATTCTAGCGGCCAGCTACTCTAATCCGTAGTTTTCCGTGGTTTCTGTGATCAATGGCTGCGAATGCCGTTGCAGTACCCTAACAAACGGGCCACAAACCGCGCACGATATTTCCTTCTTCTTCCTTGCCCTAAGCTTTCCCTTAACTGACACATACACACACACACACACTAATCACACATGTCAGGAGCTTCGAGCTTTTTTTCGGGTAAGGCGGCATTGATGGGAGATTCCTGGCTGAGGAAAACTCGAAAGCCAATGGGTCGAGGCCGGATCGCGCCACCCAGACGGGAAAGATCTCCGCCACCTCCCGCGTTAAAAACATGCACTACACTTACGCCACTAATGGTATTAACAGTTGACATACAAGGAATCACTAATCAATCAAAATGTAAGGGAAGAAAGAAGGAAAGAGTTACAGTTGACCTAGGAGAGAATGTGTAGAATACATGTAGAGTACAAAACTATGTATTCGAGAGGGCAGCAGAAAACTAGTCATGAAATGCAACCATCACAACATATTTATGGATAAAAAACTTACGGAAGAATATAAAGACTCTAATTAATCGAAACGTTTCTAAAAACTAGGTCATCAGAACTATTCTGAAAACTTGTAAGATTTAGATTCGCACAAGACAAATATTTTTGACATTCTCAATCTATAACTCTCTGTTCTTCATAGATATTATTCATGCAATACACGAATTAATTTAGTCTGAGTGGTCAGTATAGAAAGTTTTTGACAATGTGCCTTAGAACACTCACAGATCCTAAAAACTAAACATTTTTATTCTCACATTTGCATTTTATTAATAAATGACCACATTATTAGCAATTTCTCATGCAAGCTCACATGAGTAAGAATGATGTCTTTATACTTGCCTTGGTTTCTCTTGCATAATTTTTCCAGAAAAAATGTTTAAATAATGTTGGAGCTAAATATTCTCCACTGTATGTTGACAAGCGAACCAGCATATCTACCTACTGTTGATACCTAGAAGATTAAGTAATGATACTAAAAATGTAAAGTACAAAATATCTGATATGCATTCTCTCCAGATCAAGGATGCAAATTATGTAAAAACTGTCATGCACGATCACCAAGCCAAGGTCAAGAATTACCATTTGGCATGATACGTAAGGAATAATGAGGGTGTCACTAAACTAATATGCCATTAATTTGCTTATGATTTCTCGCCTTGAAATTCCAGTCCAATAACAAACCATGTGACATGTAATGTTCACTATCGAGTCTTGTTTAGCAATCATTTTCTGAACATGTTTGCTTAACTTGACCAACCCAATTAGACAAAAATACCTACATAACGTTAACAAATTATAGGAAAATATACTTTTCTATAATATATTTATGAATATAAATGACCTGTATGCTAATACAATTTTCAATCATCAATATAAAACACAAACAATTTCAGAAATTATATTAAAATATAAAAATATCAGACGTACAATATTATATACCATTACACTGACTGAAAATAAATTATTGTTGGGTAAAAATTACCTGCGAGTTAAAAATCTTCGCTGTGAAGGTTAAAACATCAGACCCTGAACCACTGCCCTGAACTTCGCGGATATCTCAGCAGCACACGTTGCCACTCGTCAGTACTGGTTAGACTGAACAGAGAGTATTTTGACACCGAAAGTATAAAGAAAGCACATTGCAGGAGGTCGTGTTTTGAAACGTAGTAAATTATAATTATCTATCCACTTCGTTTTTGTACGGTAAATTCTTGTAAGTTGAATGCTTCTGGAACGGTAAATTTACAGGTGATAACGTGCGAATGTTTGTATATTGGCACTATTGTACCTCTGGACATAAAAACAAAACAATAAAAGAAGCGTATGAAGCTTTTCCATTCCATCGAGGTAGATCCTGGGATGTTGTGAATCTGTGATACCAATCAGTTATTCGAAAAAAAATTGACATTTGTCTTGTAGAGGTGTGCGAGTGTATTCAGTGTATCTATTAAGAAATTATATCTGTGAAATGTATTGTTGAAATAGAAGAAATTTCAACGAAACTACTAGTACATGAATTTTTAGCGTTTATAGGTTATGATTCTTAATCAATAGTGTATGTTCGTTTCAATAAACAATGAAATTGTATTATATCCATATATAATGTATTCGTACATGTACCTCCCGACGCGGTGTAGTATCATAAATTAACTAGTCGTACTGGGTATTGACAGCTATACCAGGTGTCACAAGTGACCAACCATAATTTTTGGCAATTAACATTCTACACTGTATTCTATCTTATTTTCAAGTAATCCTCGAAAGTAAACACCACGATTCACTTTTCTTTACTTTTTTGCCTATGGAATAAAAAAAAATCTCTTGTGCCATTTTACAATGTTGATTTGACGAAAGTTTTTTCTTTCAACAGAATTTTAATCTTACATTTAAGAAGTTTGAGCATTTGCATCTAATCATGTCACGACAAGGAACAAGATTGGACTCAAAGAAAGTAGTAAGTTCATGAAAGAGGTTTGTGTTAGATATTCATCAAGGACTAGTCACTTTCTGTAACTTAATTATTGTTATTTTTCAGAATTCTGAATTGTTTACATTAACCTATGGGGCCCTAGTTTCACAACTCATGAAAGACTACGAAAATGTGGAAGATGTTAACAAACAATTGGAAAGAATGGGATACAACATTGGAATTAGATTAATTGAGGACTTTCTGGCTCGAACAGGATGTGGAAGATGTTATGATTTTAGAGATACTGCTGAGAAAATTCAAGTAGGGAAAAACAATCCTCACCTTTGTGAAAACTATTTGTGGTGCACATTTTATTTTGTTTTTATATTGTAGATGGCTTTCCGTATATACCTTGGAGTGTCACCAACTGTGGCCAATTGGAGCCCAGCAGCTGATGAATTTTCCCTGCAGTTTGAGACGAACCCTTTGACGGAATTTGTAGAGCTGCCAGACCATTGCCTGAATTTGAAATATGCCAATATGCTGACGGGAGTTATTAGGGGAGCTTGTGAAATGGTATGTGCATTTTATTCTGAATGTGTACAATGTCACTGCAGTGCCTCTGATGGGGAGGTCCTAGGTTCAAGTCCTATCAGTGGCAGGATTTTCAATACTAGCTGTGCCGAGTTCTTTCTATTGGCCTTCCCCTCTTGCTTGATGTATTCAATGTGTTGTGCTTGCAAAGGATGCACTCGTGGAACACGGCTCTGCTCTTCACATAGTTTTGTACACTCCTCCTCTCTCACAGTAAGAGAATAATTATATAATGTAGACAAAGTTTAAAGGGTGCCAATCTTGATAGCCAAGCTCACTAAGGCAGTAGTGCAGTGGTGATCTCAGGCAGAAGGATTGTGGGTTCTAGACCTACCTCAGGCATGGGTGTGTTTGATTTGTGTTTTCCTTACATGTCATGTTACACCAATGGAAAAAGAAAAAAAAATTGAGGTGTGTGTCAAAAGAGCAAAATGGGAATTTATGTAAAAAATTTGAGGTACTCTTCATCTGTTAATGAGTGGTTTTTATTTCACTAAAACATTTTAATTTTCCAGGTTCAGATGGAGGTTTCTGCATACTTTGTGCAAGACCAGTTGAAAGGGGACAATGTAACTGAAATACGAGTGAAGTTCATTAAAAGATTGGAAGATGCCATCCCTGCTGGTGAAGACTGAACATCATTAGAGATCATCCCCTGATCAATTATTACAACCGAAGTGACAGTTACACGGAATGTGTGGTTTAATGTATAGATTGCAGGGCATTTTCATACTGTTGTAATTGTTAGAACATTGAGGTAAATTGTCATTGAGTAAAATGTGCCATTTTATAAGGAATACAGTTAATTTCATTAAGTTAAATACATTGCAGACAGTCACCTCAGGACACTATTGTACTCCTGTTCATGGTCATTTTCATGAGAGAGTTGCATGCATGTGAGTGATTGATATATTACAGTATATATAAATAGAATATTACTATTACAGCATTATCAACACGTGTGGTTCACTGAATAAAACCAAAATACAATGAATGCCTTCAAATGGCTCATTGTGGCAAAATACCTGCTGGAATAAATAAGCAGTTTCTGTTGGTGTCATCTGACCCACTTTCACTTCCATATGCACAGTTTTTATTTGCCTTCTCACTACCAGCAAAATTATCACTATCATTCATTTCACAAAGAATCTCATCATCATGACTTGTGTCTTAACTGTGCAAAGCCATTATTCCTCTACTGCTTGAAATATAAAAACACTCATTGAATGCAAGCCTTTCGAAATACACAGACAAAACTTAACATAGAAGGCAATGGAAGGTTCCAAGAACCCTGATGTTCTAAGATAAGAGAGATAAATCTTCAAAATGATTATAGATGTCTTGTAAATAGGCAGTCCTCCAGGAAGATCACTGACTGGTCCACCCTGTATGTAAGATGTTAAAAATTTTCATGTGTGTTCCACAGTGTATGAAACAGTCTTTAAACTTCCATGTTTCAGGTTCTTGTAGCATTTATCATATGTATGGGATAAAAGATAGACAGAACATATTAAAGTGAAAACAAGACAAGACATTTTAAGATCGGTTCCTAGTATAGGTTGGTACAAGCATTCTAGCGTATATTCTCAGACTCTTAATTAGTATAATGTATATATGTAAGAAGACATGGTTTTTTTAAGGTGTAGGGATATCTGTGAGAAGGAATGATTAATTGCATTATATAAATTTGTGTGATTGAAAGTTTGAATTGAAATATTATAGTTCAGGGCTGGTCAAATGTGCTTAATAATGTGAACCATATTATTATCTTCAGAAATAAACTTCTAATACTTGATATGTGTAATTCAAACAGTATAAAAGAACTTAATGCTTACATTGCAGTCTAATAAGCAAATAATGGTAATGCTTCTTACTTTTTCTTTACAGTCCAAATGGTCTTGTTATATTGTCTTAAAAAGAGAGGTTCTCAAGTAATATGCTTCCACAGGTTGTGCAGTAGTAAGTGTTGACACACATATAATTTGAACTGACCCTGATAAAGTATAATCCAATTTAAATCCAACTCTTATAAATGCAGTGAATCACCTGAACTGATTAAAAAATTTGCAGATGAAAATGTTAGTTTCAGTAGTCAGCTTACATTCTTAGAAAAGGAATTACAATTGCATTGCTGAAACTAGTCTTGCATATATGGTAACGCGTTGTTAGAATGATTATTATTAATTCATTGTGAATGTGTATTCTTGGAGTGAAAATGTATCAAACTGGTTATAGACTTAATTGGGTTAATTGGGAAAATGTATCAAACTGGGTTATTAAAAAAAATGTGTTAATGGTTTCTAATTATTAACTCAAAATTGTAAAACTAGTTTGACAATGTGTGTGAATGTAGGAGGCTTTGAGAATGTGTGTGAATGTAACAAATGGAGGTGCTCAATTTTAAGAGGAGAATATTTGATTGCTGGTGAAGTGTTCAAATGGGAATATGAGCAGCTCTAATGTTTGCAACCATTTTGTGGAAATTTTGGTTTTTGCATGACATACTGTTCAATTTGTGGGCATTTAAGAGTGAAAAACTCTTAAACCTGTTGATGCTTTCTATTTGTAATGTTATTGTATAAACTATTATGTAAAAACTATTATTTAAGTTGTGTATTGTATGTTATTTCTCCAGAAATAGTTATAATAAATTTATATATCCACATGTTTATTTAGAAGTTGAACTTCTCTTATGTCATGCAACATTTAAAAATATGAATAGTACTAATGATTACAGTAGAAATTCCATGTAACCTGAATGCTTATAAGAAAAAATTAATTGGCTCAAGGCAAAAATATGTATTTCCATCTGTGTGCAATGCTCGAGCCTAAACTGTTCAGACAATATTCTCTAAAACTCATTTTCCCCTATCGACATGGCCAAACTGGAGATGCAGCAAATTTCAATATTTTTGTTTGGTGGTAGTTTACAAGAAACCTAAAATTTTCACATTTTTTCAAAACTGGTTCTAATTTTTAATTTTCTCACATGCAGCATACCCAGTGTAGAGAAAGTATTGTAATGCTATTACAACAACAAAAAAAGGAGCCAGAGAGAGAGAGGGAGAGGCAAAGACAAAAGCTATTATTGATATAGGACTCTGATACCAAAAGAATGGGTAAATTATCTTCCTATATTCTCAGAACAACTTCTCATTGTCAATGTTTCTGGGTAATGGATTGATTTTTAGCAGCAATATATCTGTAGAGATACTATGAATGGGAGAGTAAGATGATGCGCCGAATACTTCCAAATATACTGCCAAACCTACAAGCAATATTGGGAAAGCAATGAACCAATTATTTTCCTCCTGAGTTCCAAAACATACCATAATGTAGGATCTTAGAATACATTCAATTACTAAATTTAAAGCAAATTTGGAAGATTCACTATAAGATCTTCGTGATTTGTATGAGCTCTTTCAATGACATTAAAGTAAATCATCTTCACATCTCAATTAATAAATTTATTTGTAACATTACATTTTTTTAATACTAGTATTCAGTACAAAAACTACAATTCTGTATACAATTATTCGTCTCCTTTAACTTTTTATCTTATATTAAACAATTTGATAGCTGAGGAAATAAAACATTTTTTTATTTTTCTTATTGCGTTGTTAACAATTTCAATTTCATGTGAAACATCACTATTCGTACAAGTTAATGAACATTCTTTGAATTTCAGCTTACAAAATATAGTTCATTTAACTACCCATATAATGTCTCAATTTGTCATATCATCAAATATTCCATTACTTCAGAATTTTGTAAATAATCTCTCCACAATTATGTAACTTTCCCTGAGCATTTCCTAATCCAGAATCCCTTTAATTATTTTTCAATTACCAATACATTTGTAATAATTTCAATTTGTACTTCAGTCATGAACCAATTTACAAGACATTACACTATTTTTATTATAGATTTGTCTTTTAACATCTCAATTATCACTTCTTCAAAATATACGGAAGCAATCTTTAAGCACATACGTTACAAGAAAAAAACAAACAATCAGTCAAAAATTAATTGAAAGCATACCACATATTAAACTAATACAGTAACATTTGCTCAACTGAAAATGTGTATAATGTGAAAATCTGCTGAATGTGAATGGAAACTGTGGTCTTTAGGGAAAAAAGTAAATTCTACAATATTAAAAAGGTAAATAAAATAATGTGGCAGGTTCCATTATATTTAGTTTTGAATTGGAGTATTTCTAGCGAAAGTTTGCTTTATTTGCATAATGCCTTCGATTTACTTTTTTAGTGAAGTTTTACTATATTAATTAGAAACTAGCACACTATAAAAGGTAAGTAAATATGAATAATCACAAACTTGTACTCGGTTTCAGCAATAGTGTACTATCATATGATACTCATCATCCTGCAAGTTGAGATGCAGAGATTATATAATTTCTCACAATTTGATATGGACAAAATTCAAAGAATTTTATTAAAAATTCATCATCATGAACTGACCAGAAATTAGTTTTTACGGGCTGTTTCTATTGGTTTATTACAGTATTCTTGGTGGATTATTTGTTTTCAAAGTGTTCATGCTGGACTGGCTATCTCAGATCCCTATTGGTTTGTACATCCAAATTAATTTTGGAAACCTGTTGTTGTCCATTCTCTGTAAATGATCTTTCCATCTTTTAAGTCTTAAGTATTTCAAATTAGAACTCTTCTGATGACAAATCAACATACTTTAATAGGGGGGGGAAATAAAATTAAAAACCAACAACAACACTGAAGAAAATGTCCAAAGTCAATTTGTAACTAGATTTGAGAATATATGAAGAAACAGATCCCTAATTATGTAAGTTACCACATCTTTCAAGGCAAATAGATAAATATCATCAATGAAACAGAAATTAAAACAGATTTTACACAATATGAAGCACTTTGTATTTGATAAGTTTTAAATTTGTTCTTACTACATGCAAGAATTCTTAGAATTACAAAAGTTGAACTGCAAAACAATAATACACAACAAGAATTATCAAATGTTATCAGATGAGAACTATTATTTACAATACAAGTTACATGATCACAACAATTCTATATGTTTCTATATGTGGTGACGGGGTGGCCTGCTAACTAGTCCTGTATATACTCGAATATAGCCCGCGTATTTTTTTCAGAAAGTGCTGGTTGAAAAATGGAGTGTGGTAATATGCAAGTCAATGTTAGTACCATGAACTTTTAAGCCTGTTGCGTGTCATTTGGTGGTGTGGGTTATACCTCGGTTTTTATACCGTGGTGCGTCAGAGCCTATCTTCACAATTGAAGGTCTCCCATCATTTTGCGCCTTTCTCAGTCGTGATCGGCGATGCTTGATACAGTCGCGATCACGCGACACAACCGAGACAGATGTGAAATACCTGACATAATGCCGCTGTGAAGATGGGCCTTGAGGCGCAGCTTTTCGGCCTTGAGGTGCAGACCTTCCAAGGACAGATATTTATGCAATAAAAGTAAAGAAAAATAATAATTTTTTTGTAATCCTTACCGTAAAATTAGGGAGTGGGTAATATTCAAGGGCAGTTTATATTCGAGTACATACAGTAATTTTCTATGGTGCAATATGGTCAGCTCAAGTCCATCAACAAAATTCTAGGGCATTGCAGCACTTATTGTGGTCCTTAACATTACTCCTGTGGCATTAACATTACACACTGCCCTCACAATTCAGAACTACTGTATTAACCCAAATACAAGATGGACCCGTAATTTTAAAGAGGCTTCCTTAATTAATTTTGTTGCTAATAGTAATTATTCAATTAAAATAAAATCACAGATTGTTTCATTAATGAGTAAGTTAAATCTATTATTCAAGTTATTTTCTTGTTTCTTAAAATGGTCACTTTTGTTTTTGTCGCTACCATCTTCAGCTTTACATGTATAATTGTTTCTTTCTTGTCTGATCTTTCATTCCACAGAATAACAATTTTGCCTCCACCCCTCCAGAAAGTTATGCACATTCCTCTCTATCTTACCAGATTTATGTTACTTTATTTTTAAGATTATTTAAATTTAGTTAACCCAGTTGTCAACTATGAATCCATACATCTCTGTACAAGCAAACAGTTTGGGAATTTTATGCTTAGAATTTTTTAAAAAAATCATTCTGTTTCTCTGGAATGAAGAATGAGTACTTCTATTAACGTGCATTTTTTTACTTTTAATTCGAGTAAAACACAGATTCATACACGCCAGGCACTAAATCAATAGTCCAAACAGATCGATCAGCGCGTTGTGTAGCAAAATCTCTAATGATTATTACTCATTTTCAATTACTTTTCACTAACAACAACCCCATTTGTTTGAGATTTACTCACTATTTGAAAAATACTAATTTGAGTTGCTTAGCATTGAGTGCTAACAATCCATGAACATAATTGTGTGGTATTTTTTGCCTTTGCAGGTTATTTTTAAATCAGCAATCGAGTTTCTTGTCATGGACAGGCACGGTAAAAACAACTACGCTTAATCTGTTAATATCAGTCAACCTCATAATTATTAGAATGAGATATAGAGGAAAAAGCTCATCTTACGTTCGGGTAAATACAATATTTTCATTTATCTTACTTTGAGAACAAAATTGAGTCCAATCCTATTAAGAAGAATTCAAAATTATACAGCTTATGTTGTTACCTTTAATGTACAAATTTATGAACTACTGTGCAAAAACTACCTAATGTAATGGAAGACACTTTAATGCTCAAAATTCTATTTGTTTCACTCAAAGATAGTCTATGTGTCAATACAAAAAGTTTACTTCAAAACAGGTTTTTCTTAAATTTGTATAACTCATTCCATTAGCCTTTTTATTCAAAATAAAAATTGTTAAATAGCACACCTGCTCATTACTACAATAAGTGAAAATGATTAAACAATTCTAAAATTCTTGAAACATTGCTAGTTTTAATAAATGTTTAAACATAGAAACAACATATCACATAAATAAAAAGAAACAAAAAATATACCCAAAACATTTATCTGCCATAAGGATGGATTTGCGTAGCTGCTTTGATATTTGTTTTTATTGTACCAGGAGCTTTTCCCATAGGACCCACTGTAACAGAACAGAGAAAACAATTACTGAGCATGTCACAATATAAAATATCAATCTGTAAATTTTCCCAACATTTATTCAGACACCAGCAGTGATCCTTACTCAGTACTGCAGCTTCAATATATGCAACAAAATATGACTATATATGACACTAACTCCCTTAAAATTGACTGAAGATTTTTATTTTATTACAAGGTGTCTTAAATAACTTTGAATTCTACCAATGTTCTTATTTTTAAGTCAACTTGTATTCTGCAACAATTTACATCATTACGATGAATCAAATAATGCAAACTGTTAATTCCAAACAAATTGTCAGTTAAAAATAAGGTCTTACAATAAAATTCAATAATTTCACTGATTTTATAATGTTTCATATTGGCTCTCACGAAAGAAGGTAGGTATACTCCACAAAGGTAAGATGTTGATGGATAGGTAATGCATGGTGGTTGGAAAAGCCCACCATGCCATAACACACGCGTCCTAGGTCAAGATTTGAACCGTCAGCCCTTCTTTAATGTCTGCATTCAAGCCTTAGCAATTTCAACCTTTGAGGCTAGCCTACAAGACTAATAGATGCCTCAAAATTATAGCGAACTGTAATGAAGTGTATCTACTTCATCGTAAACATTTATCTCTAAGTTAATAAAACAAAAATTGCAACGTAAACTAAACACATTCTTTCTTGATCATCCCAAAAAGGTACATTGCATTCAACCCTTAGAAAGAATTTTCCTGCTATTAAACTAAAAAAGGAATTTGCAATTTACCTGTTACAATCAGAAAAATATAAGCTTTAATTCATTTCTTTGGAGTGTTTTTTAAAACTTGTTTTTATCAAAATTATTATTACCAATAATTTATGTTTATTAATAGGCTCAACAACACTGTTTACAATACTATTGCATCACCTGTCAGTATTCGCTGCGCGCAGATTGCATCATTGCCAGCACCCCTTCCCTTCCCCTGAACTGGACGGTTTCAGACTATTCGCGAGGCGCGTGGAAAGGTCGAGAAGTGCTGGTTGTGTTGAGACAAGCGCCGGTTAGATATAAATTTGCCGCTGCCGGCGGCCGCAAGTCAGTAAGTAGTCAGTCAGCCAGTCAAGTGTAGTTAGGCAGTGTAAATAGTAGTCGGAAGTAAGCAGCCGCGAATCAGTTAGTGCATGTAATCAGTGAATAAGTAGTCAGTGTGTCTGAAGTGGAAGCTGTGCTGTAAAGTGTGCATTGCAGTGAACAGTGGTGCAGTGGGTGAACAGCAGTCAGCAGTCTGAAGTCTGCGGTGGAAGCTGAGCAGTGAAGTGTGCATCGCGGTAAAACAGCAGTGCAATGGACAGTGCCTGTGCAGGGAATTGTCGTCTGCTCAGTGGACCATGGACAGTGTATCGGACTGGGTGATACTGCAGGAGAAGTGATCAGTGTAAATATATAATCAGATTGTAGCGAACAGTGTAAATAAATTATCAGAAGTGAACCGTGTAAATAAATAATCAAGAGAACAGAGTCGTGTGTAAGAAAAAAAGAAGTGAAGAACTCAAGTGCTGTGTAATATATCTGTAAATAGATCAAGTAGTTTTAGTGTATAATTCTTTACGAATAAACGTTTTTGTTTAAAGGCCTGTATGTGTGGGTTTTAATTCACCACCGAGAAATGTTACACTATGTTTTATTAACAGAATCTGAAATTTGGTGGTTGTAAGGCATCTATTTTAGCCAAATAAGTGTCAAATGGATTAATGTGTAGCACCAATCAGAGAGAGCAGTATCCGACTCCACCAGAACCATGGTGGCCACTCACTTCCTGAAACAAATTTCTCTGCCTTTTTTGAGCTATTATCAGAGAGATTTTACATTTTTTACTGATAAGATTTGTAGAGTATTTCACACTATTTAAAGAAAATATTAATGCAAGCCCAAAACTAATTTGTGAACTCCCTGACTTTGCTGTGATAAAGTATAAATTAAACAACTCTACAAACAGAAATTGAGGGGGAAAAAACCAACACTGGACTTTTTTTAAAAAAAAATAAGGAATAATATATAGTTTTATAACTGTCTCCAAATGTTCCCTTACTTCTAATGATTCTTCTACAAATTCCCCGAGTTTTCCTAGACTTTATCAAAGCAATGAAATTCCCTGGGTGTTCCAGAAAGTGGCCACTTTGAGGAACCACATTAAGAAGCTCCCATTGACGGGACAGACACCCTTATCACCTGATAAATGAAATACTCACTGGGTCCCTGGCCGGGGTTCATAGGTCCACCGCCTGGTTGCTGAGGCCCACTGCCTCCAGGCCTGCCCACTTGGGGGGCCACCATCATGCCCTGCGGGCCGCCCTGCACTGGGGGAACCATGACCTGCACACAAATCATTTTAGTTTTATTTCTTTTAGCCATGCGATTCAGAAACTAGTATGCTTCATTCAATGGTAGGTTGCACAGTTGTAATTACAATAAAATTCATAAATAAAATCTAACAACATTCACTATAATAGAAAGCATACATACAGAAATGCACAACACAATACATATACGTGGAAGTGATGAGGTGACATGAATGTGGATGAGGATCTGGTCCCAACTGCTCTCTTTGAAAACCTTATCTACCCACATTACCAACTTTTCAGTCCTAGCAGTAGAGAAACAGACAATAGAGCTGGTACTATTTCCCAAGAATCAGAAAACCGGGCCAATTGTGTCCACCCTCATTATATTATAGTTAGTATTGTCTGTTTTCAGTACCAAGAACTCTTAAGGACTTCAGAACAAAACATTCTAGGATATCACAACAATGTTTTGGAGGGCATTCAAGAAATTTATAACTCTGCCTATCTGAAAGCACTTCCTTAGGTTTTTGAATTCAATGTGAAGTGAAATAAAGAGGAAAATTTCTGGGTTGAATTGTCAAAAACCTTTGCCAACCTAAACCGAATTACAAGGTGTATACAGTGACATGCAATGATACTATTTAATTTTATTTTTGCAGAGGAAAAATTAAATCTTCAGAAGATTCCATTAACATTATTTCAATACATCTTCATTGTCATGACTGTTTACCATTGCTGTGACTGACATGCTATTTTATCCATAATTTCACTTTAAGTTGTAGTTTTATTTCTCATTCCATATGGTCCTAATTAATTGGTAGGTGTCATTTTATTCTTCTTTTCAATCTGAACGATATCACTTTTATAAAAAAATAAATAAATATTAATGAAAATTATAAAAATAAGTTTTTGGCAACGAATGTAGTCTAATTTTGGTATAAACCAATCAGATAATAAGTTTTCTTAATTGTTCTGATCATTTTTGGACTGCTGTCAGAAAACAATGCAATGCAACAAAATGATCTAGCCCTTTTGATTACGTTGCAAGAAGCAAAGAACTGTAGAGAAGTTACAACACAATAACACAACATATGGACCATACAGAAAGTCAAAACCTTCTAAAACATGGTTTTATGTCATTTTATGTGTATGAAGATCTGGACATGTATGACGATGTGGACTCTAGCTGGAGATCTTGTTATTATCCACCTTAATTTAACAATGTAATGCAACATGTGTATTCCTAATCACTGAAATTTGTTTGTAAATGATTTTCTTTGACTACTTGGTTGTCCGGGAGACACCGCAACCAAGACAAAGGTGCCAATGTTTTGCCCTGAGGAAGGTCACAGAATGGCAACCGAAATGTTGGCACCTGGGCCTAAACATTGCATCTCCTGGACTGACACTGGCCACTGAAGCCTAAGCTCGCACTCTTTGAACTTAAAGAAACTACACTATCTTCACTTTGCTAACTTTACACTCACACACTTGCTAGCGATTAACATCTTCCTGATGCAACTCACAACGTCAAATGACATAATTAACCAATGATGGCACATTCTATTTATTTTAAGATATTATTAAAATTTAGTGTTTACACTACAAAACCAGTTACAGCAAGCAATACCTCATCTGGGGCCTACTATTTAAAGCAAAAATCACTGATTTTGGTTCAGCAGAATGTACAAATTTTTGAATAAAGGAAAACCCTCAGTATTTTAAATATAAGTTGACATTGTCAAATTACTTCCCCCTGCACAACCATTATTTTTGGAGGTGATAAAGAAATTTTAAATACAGCAGAGGTTTTTGGTCAATTTATTTTTAATGATGTTTTAATTTTGCACATCAATCTTTGGAATCATTGCAATGCTGCATCTTGCCATCCAACCGCTTCATGACACATGCTGATTGTAAGTGGAGAGATTTTATGTACGTGATACTTGTATGATCAATCTTTCTTGATTTAAACTGCTGCTCACATCATTGAAAGCAATCAACGAGACTTTATCCAATTAAGCACAGTTCAGCAGTACAAAGATTTCCTTGGTTTGTTTACATCACGATTTGTCTAAGAGTGAATGGGAAATAGTTAGATATATTAACTCTGACAACCTCCTGGGACTAGGGTCTCTGCGCACAGTTTGTGCCATGATGGCTACTGTGGATTATAGTTATCAAGCTATTCAGTCAACTTTATTTGTGTACTACCAGATAATGCTGATTTCTCGCATTTGGTAATATCCGGGTTCTTTTGGACTTATCAATGCATTTCTTGGCTGCCACTGGTAAGCTTAGTTTTTTTGAAATCTTAGTTAATTTTCAAAGCGCCGACTGAGGGCTGCACAATTTATGATTTCAGCATTGTTAAGCATCCTGATCTAACTGCCACCCTCTCTCAAACCTTCAGTAAATAGCCTCACTTCTCGTGTAGCTTTCCTGCTTTTACGTTCTAATTTTGGGATTTATTCAATTTATGCTTTTTATTTTAGATACGCTCTTTAGACTTCTGTTAAAGTTTTTTCCCTTGATTTTGAGGTGACTTGGTTTTAGTTATGCATGACTAAAAATATCATACAAAATAAATAAGTAAATAAATAAAGCAATCATGCATAATTTTGGCAGTGCCAATCCAATCCACAGATTGAAAAGAAGAATGGGCAGAATATGCTGATCATGGCTGGGCATGCATCTACATTGTCTCAGCTCTGCATGGGGAGCGCAGGCATAGCTACTTAGCAGTCAAAAGGGTTAAAGATTTGAAACAGATGGAGTCTTACCTTCAGTCCTTTGCCCATACTAATAGCCGCCACCAAGGTGTGGGTATCAGCAACAGAAGAGGTCTGGCCAGTGGCAGATCTGGTGCCTTCCGACTCCCAATCTTCCCGAGCTTTGCTCACTATGTCCAGCACCTGGCTCACCACTTTTGTGTATGCAGAGATCTGCTTCTGCTCACAACCAAGGTATCATACATTATCATTAGAGGCAGGAAATAAATGTTTTTTTTTTGTTTTTTTTTGGTTTTGTTTAAAATAAGGAGACAAAATGGCATTTATTTTTTTGTTAAAATAGGGATGCAAACAGGCTTGTAAAATATATCAAATACATTTCAACATCTATCTCGTCACAAGAATTTAACAGAGTTTCAAATATTTTGGGAGATTGTTTCCTCTCTGGAGTCACAGCTATATGCATGAGGCATGCTTAATTTTGATCTCCCCTGTAAGTCAAGTCTATTGAGAGCAAGGTTTCAACACTAATTAGAAATTTGGAGCTGTTTGAGAAAATTGTCCTTTAAGGATTTCTGAAAAAGGACAATTCTGAGCTCATTTTCAAAGAAAACTTATAAGAAATCATGCCCACAAATCACATCATTCTTATAAATGCAATAACGCATGAAAAACAGCCACAATGCAAATACTAACAATATAACATGTATAAAAAAATGTGTGTATTTTTTTAAAAAAACATAAGAATAGATCAAAATCACATTTATATAACTTTGGGTATATCATTCTGTGCATTTAGAACTATCCTAACAAAAAAATTTGAAACTGGTTTTGAGAAAATTTTGTTTATAATATTGTCCATATTTCACGAATACTAATATTTTTTTTTTAAATGACATTAATTAAAGAACTGAACATTCTAAAGAGCATTGTTATACACTAAAAAAAAAAAATATAAAAAAAAAACAAACAAAGTCTGCCCCTACTGACAACTTACTTGAGCTGTTTCATAAGACTGGTTGGCAGCCTTGTGTTCCATTTGCAAATTGCGATGCTCTACTTCAGGTTCGGGCCGAGTTCGCAGGTAATCTGGCACAAGATCATGAGCAAATGTAGGCACTCTGCCTTCTGTCAGCCGCAGCAACTCTTCATCGCGCTCTGGACTCAGCAGCAGTGGCAGTACAGTCAGGTTTCGAAGATTAGGCATTTTGTCGTGGCTCAACAACTTACTCAATGCAGAGAGCTGACAACAAACAATTATCATTACAAATTTTAATATGACATGTTAACCCTTGAAATACATTCTTGTTAAAGCTATAATGAAGATTCAATAAACATAATTTAGTAACAAACTAAAGGATATAACTTCATTTACTGAATAAATTCTATCGACTAATTTTCAGTTGATCAAAATGAATAATCACGTTCCAGCTGATGATCTGTAAGTCACTATATTTAACTCGGACAACAGAAGGCTCTAGCCATCTTTAAATGCTAGAGAAAAGTCCATTCTTTTATGTTGCTTGCACTTCAAAACTACCGTCTATGACTATTTAAGTGAAAAAAGTGTTTTGCATGCTTGTTGCTATGATGAGGACTCTGGTTTTGGAGAAGGATTAACTTTGATGCTGATTTCTAAAAAATCGCATAGCTCTCAATATCCTCTTAAGGGGATCACCAAGGATCACACGGCTATCTATGTGTTACTACTATTATTACTACTAGCAAAAGAAGTACAATAACTTTTATACTTCAGTATTTCTGCAGAAAAGTACTGAAAAATAATGTAAAAATTTAAACTTTTACTTTCAATATTCTGTAAATAAAAAAAACATTCAAAAGAAGTAAATCTGCTTGTATCATTGCTACTTCAAACATTACCACCAAGCTGCTCCTAACATTTTATAGCACTAGGTTGAATAGTTTGAGAAAACGAGTGAAATGTACAGCCAAATTAACTTGGGTGAGACAGGGCTTTATACAGTATCCCCTTAAGTGATCATTTTAATAACAGACATAAGATGTACTAGTATCTTTTCTTTATAGTAAACATTAGGACCAACATTCAAAACATTTGTGCAATTATTGTTTACCTTTTTTGTGTGTTCAATTCATTTTAACATATCTAAAGATACAATTTTACTTAAAATTAATGTCTATAATAAAATTTCAAGTTAAAAAAAAAAATTTGGCCTGAATAAATTACTACTTTGTTTCCTATCAAAACTGGTGATATTTATACAAGTAAACGAATAAATAAAACATGGCACATGAGGAAATGTGACACTTCTCTGACCAAGTAGCATGATCTCATATCTAGCTCTTCCAATTTTAGAGGTTTGATTGGGTTATATTAAAAAAAAGATTTTAAAAAAATAACACAATAATTCGCATATATACTTACATGACCAGACATCAATGCGAAATTATCAAGAAAGTTGGGCCAATTAAGCGTTTCGTATTCGTGTTCTAATTTGAAGAGCATTCCTCCGATTGCTGTTTTAAGGTCATTTACACGAACAATGAGTGCCTCCAGGGCCGAATCTAATTGTTTTTCTTCTCTCTGCATTCTGAAATCCGACAACGAACGACGAAAGGGCACTAAAACATTAAAGTAATTTTACTTATTTAACATCATTGCAATCCCTATCATATAATTCCTACAGCAGAAACATTGTTTGACAAAAAAAATATAAAAAGAATCTCGAATCAAATTGTACTATGCAGAACAATGCAGAATATTTCTTAACATACACACACCTAAATCATATATTAACACTTGTGTCGTGATGTTTGTCTACCACATCCAGCACATCAAACCCGATCAAACCGCTCTAAATGACAACCATAGAGGAATGTTGCCACTACTGGATGCCTATATACTCTTTGGGCTGAACTTCGATTCTATAATCGATTATAGTATAGTGACTTCCGTTTATGTTGGAGCTGCGATAAACGATAACAGCAGAGCTGCCAGCGAAGAAACGAGAACGTCTCCATGTAATCAAATGGAGGTTTTCATTTGGAGGAAAATGGAGGCATCCCGCTCCAAATTCGATTCGGATATCGATTCTTTTCTTACGATTCCTAAGGAATCGGCACTCGATTTTGGCTTCCAATTCTTGTTGGTAGCCATGATGAAACGTAATGGGTGAGCTCACGCAATCTACAGGACAGTTCCACTACTGGGACAGTTCTGTAGATTTTGTGGATGAGCTATAGCGCATCGTATCAGCCAATGAACTTCAGGCATTAGTGTGCGGCACAATATGAGCGGGAATTTTAAATGCAGGCAGATACCAAAATTATCACCTTGTTACATGTCATTGAAACATATATGAAGACTTTTTTAAATATTGCATCTTTTATTTTAATTACACCTTCATAGTGCTACTTTTGGTTATCACCTCACTCCATGCCACTTTCAAAATATTTCTGAACTTTTCTTGCTCTTCATGCAACGTGGTGGTGAGCGTCTTGTCTGACTTTTCAGTGCTCGTGTTGCGGTCCCATGGTTCATAACCGATTACGGAGTTTGTCCATGCCATGGTTATTTGCAACATGGTCCACGCCATAGCGGACATCTGCGCATGCATATAAGATCAACGGTATTTTAACGCTTGAAGGTGTACAAACTTTCTAGTATTATGGTTCTACTTTCTACCTCTATGGGTTCATGACTGTCACAAGTGCTGCGCAGAACGAAGAGTCAGAGCGCCGGACTGGCTCACCCATGCCTTTTCATCAAGCTGGAAACCACGTCGTATAAAATAAAATTTCTTACACCGTGTAAGACCCGCAACAGACTATACCGAGAGATACGTCGCGAGAAATGTTCGACGAGATATGAGAAAAGAGGCCGGTGAGGCTGCGTTTACACATCTAGGGAGTTTGTGCACACCATACCAGACGGCACTATCGATCTTCTACGCATGTGCAGATGCACCTAATTGGTGCGAAACTTGTACAGCACATGCGCAGAAGATCGATAGTGCTTTAACGTTTAATTGTGAACAAATATCCTACTAAAAATAGGAAGTTTGTCCCACCTCGAAAGTAATATGCACTAAATTGGCGCCAAACTTAAATTGCACGTATGCCCGAAAATCAACATTGCTTTACGTTCGAGGTAGCACAAACTTCCTAATAGGTTATTCGATATCTCGAAAAGACTATTTGCCACAAGCCGAGAGTGGTGCAAGCAGTTGGCTATGAAATCAGCTGCGAGACCCATTTCTTGTTTTATTAAATGCTCTTGTGTAATTTCAATCTGAGAAATGCTTGCTTTGTTACCGTGATTGTAAACCATCTGTTTAACGAGTTCGAATTGCCTAAAGAGAAATACATTACTGCATTGCATACAAATCATTATTTAATGTAAAACACAGGATTGAAATTCCTTCAAATTATAATTTTTATATTACTCAGTATGATCGAGCTTCATTCCAATAAGAATATCTTCCACAGAAATTTGTTTCTTATTCGTTTCCACTTGAAGAGAAAATTTAAGTAAACAATTAAAACATTGTTTGTTTATCTCATATTTTCTTCATCTTCTTCTCCTTCTTCTTCTTCTTCTTCTTCTTCTTCTTCTTCTACTACTACTACTACTACTACTACTACTACTACTACTACTACAACAACAACAACAACTACTACTACTACTACTACTACTACTACTACTACTACTATTACTACTACTACTACTACTTTTATTACGGAGGATCGCGTAGTAGGAGGCGCGTTTGCGGAGATGCTACATGCCGGTCCTCTCGACAATTGACTGCGACGAGACGTAACATTAAATAACAGATAATATTAATAGAGGATTACACCCAATGCATGATTATAAATATAGCGCGATTATTATTGGAGGATTTCTCCCAAGCACGAAGCGCTCAATGCCCCCGGGACTTAGACGCAACAAATTAGAAAAAAAAAGAAACGTGGAAATCCAACTCACAATCCATTTTTTTCTTCAGTCTGGCGAGGTCGCGTTTACCTGTCGGTTTTTAATCTCTCGCAATCATGATTAGTCTTTTGCAGTCCGATCTGGTAACGTGCTCATTCCATTCTCTCCTTCTCATATATTTGACTCACCCTCAAAAATGTCACACTCATTTCTTATATCTTAGTTTTACAATCTATCTCATCTTTATTATTATTATTATTATTATTATTATTATTATTATTATTATTATTATTATTATTATCGGCGCTCGCTGGGGCGCGGCAACGGAATTCTGGAACTTCCTATAGCCACGTGTTTCCTTGCGAACTTATAATATTATTTGAATCAATTTTATCACACACGTCGCTCTAACGCGTGCAACGGTCCCGTTACAATGACTTGTGGATTATCTATACCAGTTTCGTCGGTCAGTTTAAATTATAGATCCATACATTTTTTTATGTCTGGTTTACTAATTTATGCTAGTTTGTTGAAGTCATATACAAAATTATATAGTCATATACAAATTTGTACTGATATAGTATACGAAGTTACATACAAAACGCAACATCCCTGCGTTACTCAGAAGGCCTTTGTCCTACGTGTACGTGAAAATTGCCTTTTGGATCATTTGTACTGCCATCGTCACGTTCATAACCGAACAAAGTTTTCTGACTTCTGCGTGTTTGTGGGGGGGGGGGATATCTGCATCTACATCGCACAAATTAGCAAGCTCAGTTGCAGTGCTTAGCAATTCATCAAAAATTAATATTAGTTCAAATGAATACAGCAACAAATTGTACAAGTGAGCTCAGTTTCATTTGTTTAGTGATAAAACGGACAATGAAGTGTTGTTTCTCATAGTTGCGAAAATCTAATGGCCGTACTGTAAAACTGTGTCCAACAAACCGATAAAAAAACATTTCACCTATGAAACCCAACTCCAGTACGTTCCTTTGAGATATGTGGGACTCAGCATACATAATTACATCAAAATCTGAGATGGAATCGTGGGGTACTTTTCTAAAATTTGCTTCAAGTGGCAATGTGTTTATATCGAGAATAACTTTTTACTTCACATATTCAAACAGTGCAACCTAACTCAAAAACGCCACGAGATATCAGAAGTGGATAAGGACATTTCTGGGACAAAATTATAATATTTTTCGCCATATTTAATGACGTCTCAACCTAAGCCTGACCAGGTTTGTTGTCATCCTGCATTTCTACAATGCGAGTACTGTCATAATTAAGACTCAAAAGTGAAAACGCGTTTGAAAGTTTTTGCGTACTCATACGCCACTACGACAGCCACCGCTCTAAGCAGCGAAACACAACTTTGGTAAAACTAGTTGAAAGCAGTTCAAAAGTGTGTTTCAAAGAGTTGCATACAAGAAATGAATTTCCGTCCTCTGGAATATAATCGGCAGTTTTTTGGTGGTGGTGGGGAATTAACTCTCTGAAGCGCTGCAAGTTTGAAATGTATGCCTTTAGCAGTTAACTAGCGCCAAAGAATTGTTATAAATTATTGAATTCCAAGTACGGCGCCAAATTTGAATTAATTTGGTCACCTATGTGCCAACATCGGTAAAAGAAATCATGCCAGTTTTTACTAATCTATGAAATACAATTTGGAAACTAGTAAAATGGTCTCAAGAATGGAAACAGAACGTTTTTATAACTCAGCCGAAGAAAGAAGTCGACAAGGAATGCACAGATTACAGAACTATTGCCTTAATTCCACTTGCAAACAAAATGTTATTAAGAATAATACAAAAGAGATTGGAGCGTTATGTGGAAATTTGCCACTGGAACAGGCAGGATTCGGAAAGGCCAGAACACAAGGGATCAAGTCTCAAACATACGTTGGATAATTGAAAGAACTGGAAAAGAATCGATAAATCTACATGTTTCATTGATTATCAGAAAGCTTTTAATACCGCACACCATAGTAGATCGTGGAAATGCTTGTAGAGAATGAGGTCCTCACGGAGCGTCTCGCGGAGTTGATCAAAGACTTCTATGCTGACTAAGAAGCAAAGATAAAAACCGAGCAAGGTGAGACAGACTGGTTACCTACACAGAAAGGATAGAGACAAGTTTGTAAATTGTCATCAGCATTGTTCAACATATCCAGGGAGCACATACCGAGAATGTGGACTTGATATGAAAACGGGAATCAGAATCGGTGGAAGGAATATTAACCACCTCTGCTGAGCCGACGGCACTACAATAGAAATCGAGGAGGATCTGATACATATCACATCCTTGGTAAAGCAAAACAGCGAAAATTCAGGCCTCAAACTAAACACAATCTACTCCGGCTGTAGTGAACTTCTAGGGAATTAACATTATTGGTTTATTATATCCGAGGATATCAAAATTAAACAGAATTTCTTCATAACGATTGATTTTATTAATATAGAGATATATCAAAACACATTAATTATGTAGCGCTTTTGTAAATAGCTTTCCATCAGCTGTGTCTTCCGTCTGTTAAAATATCCCGCTTAAATCTTGTCAGGAGCACAGAAATTGCAGTGTGATCTTGTGTACTCTACATATTCTCTGGTCGTGTGTTGGTTGCGAGGATAACTGAAGCCCAACGCCGAAGCACGTGTTATAGCACGTGTTAAAATTTTGTATTATAGCGTGATCGGGTGTGATCCGTAGAAGTGTGAGCTGGTCTGTGAGCACAGGGAGTGCCCTCTGGTGTGATCCCGGTGATCCCTTCCCTCTTTGAAACGCCGCATTTTGGTTGGTGTTTATTGGTGTGTTTGTTATGAATGGTATTATATATTTAAAGCATTGTATTGTTTAAAAAGTGTAATCCGCATCAATAAAATTGTTTCTGAAAGTGTGGAAGTCGTACGAAAATAATATATGCTTGTAAATACTTCGGATTTTCTTTTGACTTTCAGGTCATAAATTATTTTGTCTCTTGAAGTAGAAATGATATGATTGAGTTCTAACTGTCCGTTGAATATCAATAGTTGTGTACCTATGAGGCACGAATCACTCTGAATGTAGCTGGTTTTGTTGCTCTTAATAGTGATATAAGCAATGAATCAGCTAGATACTTTATTTAGTATGACTGAAGATTTGAACACAAACAGTGATGAAGATGCAGACGTTGTTAGTGACAGTGAAAGTGCTCAATCCTTAATTCAGTATTATGTGGAACAAGAAAGATCACTTTCTCTTCAAAGGACTTATATTCTTCATATGAGTTGCAGTCAAGGGGTAGCTGACAAACTGTTTCTGGGACTTTCGAATTGTACCAGTGTAGTATATGATATAGAAACTTTGTCCAAAGTGGCATGCCTTTCTGGCCACGATAGAACTATAACTGGTGTGAAAGTGGGTGCTGGCGAAGATGATGTGGTGTTTACGGCTTCATTGGATGGAACCATCAAATTGTGGGATCTAAGATTGCATAATAACATGGTAAGGGAGTACAAAGATGCGTCTGAAGGTGATGATAAACTAAAACCTATCAGTTCTTTTGATATCTCTTCCAAGAAGACTGTCATTGCTGCAGGAACAGAACTGTTTGATGGTGATGCTTTTATGCTATTTTGGGATGCACGTTCCACTAAACTTTTAGGAGGTTATTGGGAATCGCACAGAGATGATATCACTCACATTCAGTTCCATCCATCAAAGAAGGATTGGCTTGCAACCGGATCTACAGATGGTTTGATGAATGTGTTCGATATCAGCGAGGGCTCTGAAGATGATGCTCTGTTATACAGTATGAATACAGAGTCCTCCGTGGACAAATTACAATGGTTTATGTGTCTTAACGAAGTTGATGGATTATCATGTATCACTCATACTCAAGACTTGCAAGTTTGGGAAACTGATGGAGTTATTCCTTATGCGAAGCATATGCAGAGGGATATTATTGCGAAAGTCATGCATCGCACTAGTTCCGATTACTGTTACTTGGTTGATTTTCTCCCTGAGGACAGTGATGATGAAGTTTCACTTCTAGCAGGTTCAACTGCTGGAAAAGGAGAGTGTTTGAAGATGCTGAAAGTACAAAAGAAGACATTAACTCCTGTAGCAGTTTTTAATGGGAATAAGCAGATAGTGCGCTCATGTTGTTCTATCAAGCAAAAAAATCTTCTTGTAACTGGTGGAGAAAGTGGATTTTTTACTCTTTGGAAATCCGATGGTCTGTCGCAAAACATTTCTGCAGCATCTTTGAAAGTTAAAACAAAATCAAAGCATTCGAGTGTTGGAAAAAAGCCTTATTAGTTCAATTATTATGTTTGATTATTTGTAAACTGGAGATTAATTTGAAAGTGTATTTAACTGAAAAATATAATTTTTTGGTGATGAATTTTAAAAAATGTTAAATTTAAAAAACTTAAATTACCACAAACCTACAAAGTTGTGGTAAGTGGTACATGAATATAATGTAATAGCAGCAGTTCCAATTAATTAACTAAATCATCAACTATCTGACATTTTTATGTTAATCAATACTTCATAATTTTTATATGAATTTGGGCTTTTGTTTTATTCATGGATCTCATTCATGTTTAAAGATCTATATGAAACAAAACAAAATGCATATTTATGAAAATTCCTTTTTTAAAAATTATCAGTTTTTTATGTTTCTGAAAATTTTGAATATTGTTTTCATGTGTTTTATTTCAAAGTACTGACCTCAATGCATACTAATTATTTTCAATGGTTTCTTTAAATAAAAAAATTATGTAAATTTCTTTCTGTTGAAAATTGTCGTTAACAAATTAATTTTTGAAACTTGTAAAATAAAGCTCATACTAAAATGCTTGTACCTTACCACCAAGTATGTTTTTTAATAAATGGATTATTTTACAAAATTTGGGTCCAGATTCCTGAACAATGTCTCAATGTCCTTCATTAAAGTAGAGGGAAAATAAAAAAAAATCTAGTGGAGTAAGAAAATTCAAATCTTTAAATACCTTGAATCTTGAGAAAGAATCTTCTATTATCTTGAATCGTAACAATTTTTTCAGTTTGAATTGATCGTAAAGAAAAGAAGGAAAAATTGTATGTGATGTTTCGGGGAGAAGTATAATTAGAGCATGTTTTCTCGAGCTATGGAATCCCTTTCTCACTATTTATACTAAAAGTATTTGAATTGTAAATAAAGAGCATGCCAAGTCTTCACTAATACTTTGATGCTTCTACTGTAAAAAGTTATTTTTGGCTGCCTTCCCCTTATATTAAGCTTCTAAGGTTCTGCATATCTATTACTTTCATATTAGTAACAAAACATGTGAAATCTTTTCTTCTCATTTGGGGAAATCTGAAATCACCACAATCAACCTCAATCACAATACCACTTTAACTTCTACTTTCTAATTCATCGAGTGGTACTCGGGAAAACCAAGAGCCTTGGGACTGTGGATCCATAGGGGTCTCTCGTATAGCCCCTGCACATGAGTGTTGCATTAAAATTGATCAAAAGCTTTGCCATCATGTACACCTAAATTCTTCCCAATTAATAATTTTGCAAAATTTTAATTGTCTTTTGGCAAATATTTCTGTGGGCGTCTGTAAAATGAAAATATGTCAAACCTTGTTATTTCAAAAGAAAATTGAGACTAGTCAAAATAGGAATGGACCTAAAAAGGGGACATTTCCAGGAAATAGCTGACTGCTCTCATTGCCTGAAAGTATCGGTTACATGATTGATCGAAGAATTTTAGGACTTGTTTTCATGATAAATGAGGATTGAAGTCACCATAGGGTTCCAAAAGTATTTGAAATGGTCTGTACTACCAATTGATAAGAATTCCCCTTCATTGTATTAAAACTGGTAAGGAACAGGCTAAATGTATTTAAATTGTTATATTTAAATCTCATCAGTTCAGTCTTAAAGAAATTTCTCCTTTTGTTGTACATAATTAGTTTGTTTAAAAATAATTTAAACAATTTATTGAACTATAGATGACCTTTTAAATCCAGTGATCATTCACGGTACATTATTTTATAAAATTTTGTGGAACGTTGTAGGGTTGAACAATAATGTGTGAAAATAAGCATCTAAATAAAATTTTAATATTTGTTTTTCAATTTATGGTGTTCTATCCAACGAGTGACTTTGTTTTCGATTGCTATCCCATGGAGTAATGATCCACAGCTATTGACAATGACTACTGCTGCTGTAAACTATACTATAACTAAACGGCTGCTACAATATACCGAAGACTATATCAACTACTATTTACTACTCCCACTACCCTACCCCGAGTGCGAATTACCAATTTCACTCGGGGGGTCGAAGAATTTATAGAGAAACAAACACCACCTTCGTGTAGGCACCACTGTGTCAATGAATCCTAATAATGCTTTCGATAATATTTTGTTCATTTTCTGCCATTTCGATTCGTTCATTTGCATTATACTTAGCATTGTGTGTGTTCCGTGTCACCTTGTGTGTGTTCTATATAACCTCTAGGTGGAGCGGAGTGTGTGTTTCAGTTGTCATGTATGTTTCAATCCTATACTTCAGAGAGTATATAGACCACAGACGGTACATAGACATCAACAGAGTACATTGGTGTACATTAAAGAGCGTGCCGTGAGGTTCGTGGTGAGGTTAACCATGTTCTCCAGAATTTGCAGACTATTAACTCGAAATATTAGAAGTGATGTGGGAATGTACCCAAGTTTTCAGGTGGCACGATTAATGCATCATGTACAAAATGATTCGAAAACAACTGCCATGAACGGTGGGGAGCTTCAATCGTTTTTGAAATCCAATTCGACGTGTGGGCTAATTGCATTGAAGCATTTGCCGCAAACTGCACCTATCGGCAGAGTAAATTCCCGTATACTGGATTTTCCCTTTCCCTTTTCGTACATTCCCGTACCTGTTGATAAGAGAGACCCTTTCCTTGATGTTCAAATTAATGAACCTCATCAAGACAAAGTGGTCGAGAAGCAGGCTGCTAGACTAATTGTTATTCGCCGTCGAAAAATGAAGAAACACAAGCTCAGAAAACTGCGGAAGAAGATGAAATTTGAATGGGCAAAAGTTAGGCAGCGAAGGGAATTAAGAAAAGAGAAGTTGTTTCAAGCCAAACTTGTTGCTCAAATGAAAGAAGCCGATGAATTTGACGCTGCGGAGTATGTTTCAGAGAAGCTTAGAAAAATTGAAGAATTTTCTCAATTGGAGGAAAAAAAACGAAAATTTGAAAAGAAATTATGAACAGTAGGAAATGATTGTTGAATTTTTAAGCTTAAATAACACAAAGTTTAATTCCTCTTTACAAATGCTAATATTTATGTGAATGTGTACTTGTAATAACATGAAATTTAATTGTGTTCTTTGTAGAAATAAAAGTAGAGAATCCAAGATGATTTTGTGTAATTTATTTTCTGGAGCATTGAATTACCTTTTATTCAGTTTTTGAAATAAGATTGTTAATTTACCTGGAAAAATAATTTCTGATCATTTGACAATCGACATTGCCCACACATTCGATTAGTTAGCATATGTTTCTCCAATTTTGAAGAGAATAGTGTAAATGGAAGTTACAAAAAGCATCATTTGTTACAGGTAGAACTTAAGCAGAAGCAGAGGTTGTTTACCATTTTGTTTTCATTACAAATTATAATTCATATCCCCTTTATGGTGAAAAGAATCATTACAGTGTTGCCATTTAAATCTGAGAGAAGTGATGTATTCCTTTTAAGTGTTAGGAAAATACAGACTTGTATGATTTCCACCATTGTTTCTGAAATTATTTCAAAATAAAATGTTAAAGAATTTATTTGTCGACTAACAATGTCTGTTAATGTATTGCGTATTGAGAATAAAAGATAAAACAGCTGGAAATGAAAATTACAGCAATGCATTTGTTCATACACTTCATGCAAACAAACATTGGTTTGTGGTCCTGTAGTCAGAAGTAATAGAAATTACTTAATATGTATTGAAATGTTTTGTGAAGAAAATGTTAATGAACCAAAAGAAAAATACAAATGTATATGTGGGAGTAAGCAATTGATGCTACAGGAGGGTGCATAATTTAATGTATTAAATTTCTATTATTGTTGACTTAATTCGCAAGAAAATTGAAACTTGTTTTTCTTTGCATTTTCAATGTTTCATACGTTCTTCATTTCAGACACAAATTGTTATCTTTCTGTAAAAATAAACAATAGGATCTTTATAGTCCATCATCTTTGATGGTCCATTCAACAAAAGTATTTTATTTTTCTTATAAACAGGAGTTAATCATTTGAGTGCTACAAAATATTATAAAAGAGAATAATACAAGAAGACAATAATGCAAATGTTACAGATATACAAGTACAAAGTAAAAAAATTAAGAACCATTATAAAAAACAAAATAAGTAAGCAAAAGAAGAATTATTTAATTAGAGGATAGAATACAACCATAATCCAAGTACTTCAAGCATTTACCTATAAAAATACCCATGAATGTGCCAGACATCAATCTACCAATACCTTATGCTTATGCACTCAACTATATTGAATCTATCATAGAAATTGGATCATCAGTTAGTGTGAAAAGTTGGGAACCATGTCTTGTATGGAAATAGATGAATTAATTCACCTTCAATATGACTATTAATTATTATTATTTTTTTTTTAAAACTTGATTGGCCACATTGGACCACTTGAGTCGTTCCACTTCACTTTTTCTTCGAAGGTTGTACTGCTCGGTTCTTGAGTTCTGCCCAGTACCTTTTCATTCGTTCTGATCGTGATTTCCTCAGTTCGTCTGAAATCTCCACAGGCTTTCTATGTGTCATTACTGCTGAAAATTTATGACTCTTAAGCAGGGTGTTTATCTTCTCTTTGTTCTCTGCATCAGCAACTTTGAGTCCAACTGCTTCGATATCCTGTTGAATTTCTTTGACCCACTGTCCTCGTGTCTTCTTTCCGAGGCTTCTCATCACTAGTTGTTGTACAATTCTGATTTCTGGCAGTCGTAAGATGTGAAAGAATTACGAGATTCTTTTCTTCTTCATTGTGCTGGTGATTGGGTCAATCTCTCGATAGACAGTTTCATTGGGAAGGATTCTCCAGACTCCTTCAACCTGGTATTTCTTATTTATACAAGTTCTGATAATTCTTCTTTCAGTTTTGAGGAGCTGCTCAGTTCTTCTTTCATTTCTAATCTGGAACAGCGTTTCACAGGCATATGTGGCTTCCGGGAGAGTTACTGTTTTATAGTGTTGGATCTTAGTGTCTATTGTGAGGCATTTCTTATTATATGTTGACCAGGTTAGAAACTGTGCTTTTTTCATTTTGTTGGTTCTATTTATCCATGTTGCTTTCTTGTTTAAGTTGTGCATAATGATTTCTCCAAGATATTTAAATTGCTGGACTATGTTAAGTTTCTGATCATTTATGACAACCTTATTATTTTAAATAAGTAAATCATTAATAATTCTGCAATCATTCAATAAGCGAAGTAGGATCGTAGTTGTCCTCAAAAATGCACATTGGTATAATTTTGATCATGTATGCTCTGAAAAATCGATGTTGGGTCACTTCAATGTGGTTAATATGTACACTGAAATAAGGCAACCAAATCACAAAGGCTTATTCAAGTTTGAGTTATAATCCACTTACTTATTTAAAATCCTGGTATAAGTCATATAATGATTTTAAATAAAGAAAAGTGGCAGGGCCATGAAATTTTGTTGTATGATTAATGAATTCTAGAAGGTTTGAACACCTCATTAGTTATGTCAGAAAAGTATCATTACTGTTGTAAGTAGAGTGCACTACCAAAATTTGACCATTAGATCAATAACGAGAAATAATGGTATTGAATTGAATGATTGAAAAATAGATAAATTTGCATTTTCAAATAAAGTAAAGTTTTTTTTCTTTACTCTTCACTACCAAACTTTCGAGATAGTTATTATTTTCTACTTGCTCTCTGTAACTGATAATCCCAGTAAAATAGCACAGGTTTCTGAACAAGTTCATGTAATTGTCACGAGTTAAGAGCCATAAATGCTTAGATTATATGCCAGTTTTACTTGTTCATATTTGCATATTAAGCTTTATGGGATATGGAAGAAAGTCAACTACTTTCATCTTTTCAAAAAGATTAAGTTATAGTTCAGTCCAATAATTTTGTTAAAGATGACACAAGTAATTTTTTGGAATCATGACTATTGTCCTCAGAGAGCAGTGCATAAATTGTATAAACAACTTATGCAAATCTTTTGATGTACTGATATTTTGTGGAAAAATAAATCTCCAAATCAATTAGAAAACTACATAAATTGAAAAAGGGTGTCTAACTAATGTACGAGGCTATAGATAAGAAAGAGAATATAAAAAAAAAAAAAATTTCTTGCAGAGAAATCTAATGAAGTATCTGTGCAATTAAGGTAAAAGGACACCTTATTTAAATTTAAAAAAATGAATGTCAACTCATCAATATGGAAGTGAAAGTTGGGTAAGGATTGAACACTAGTCGAACAAAATTACTGGTACTTTGAAATGTGAAACAGAATTAGAGGCCACCAAAATGCTTATGGCATTAGAACTAAAATTGATTACAGAAATTATATTATATAAATTAAATGCTTATACAAATATGAAACACTACAAAAAATTAACATTTATTGAGGAGTTGGGTCTGACGAGATATCACCTACAATATCCTTTCAGGATATCACCTTCTGTAATACACCTATGCCGCATGTCCAGTTTTCAAAATTCACAATAAGGGCTCATTCTTAGTGAAAAAAGCTCTATAATACCTATTCACAAATTGACCGAACAAATGGTAGAAATTATAAGTTCTAATTCGCAACTTGCTCTCATTGCCAAGATATTCAAATTGACATTTTAATATTAAACGCATTTCAGTATAAAATCTAATAGTGATAGATGAATACCATGGATTCAGAAATAATAAATCTACTATAGCTAATTTATTATCCTTTCAACGTCTTATTATAGGTAAACTGGAATGGGAGCAAAATATTGATTTTAAAACAGAGAAAAGTATATAAGCAGCAGCACAGATGAGATACCCAAGATCACTACTTAGAACACCAATGGAGAAAAGAATAAGAAATAGATATGCAAAAAACTTAAATCCCAAAATACAGAAAAGTACCAAAGAAAATGGCAAGGATAATTCAGACAAATGAAAATTGAAAGAAGGGGAGTAGCAGGCAGACCAAGGAAAAGATGATTAAGATTCCTTATCTGAACACCTAAGCAGTTACCAATTGATAGACATCATTTCCAGCCAGCAACTTTTAAATGTTTATTGCTATTGTCACTGACTTGGACAAAATGTTATATTGTATTCATGGGTTACTATTGCAGCAGTGGATGCAATTAGTTGAAAGGGAAAATTGTAAATTGTTTGTATCCAATGATATCTTAATTTCTTCATGTGTACTGCAAAAGTCACATTTAGGTACAATGCTATATCTGTTTATTAACAACAATAAATTACACCTTGCACTGTTCTCTTTTCTAGTACATGTAGCTGTCTAAAAGACAACTTTATCTTACGTCATCTTTGTCTGTAGTTGAAATTCTTAGTAAGTTTTTCAGTTATTTTCTTTTTCTTTTAGTTATCTGAAACTTAAAACAGAAATAATAATAATCTTTTTATTGTACAATTGTAAAAATTGTTGTTGTTATTATTATTATTATTCATGCTGTACAGTTTAACTTTATATGTAGGATATTATAGAGTAACTTGCCTATTAAATAGATAAATTAAACTGACACTTACCCAAGTATAAAAATTATTTAAGATGTTATGTGCAAAGAGGTCTTTCGTTACTACCCTTTTGTATATCAGCATCAAGTGCGTGCAGGGGAATGGACAGAAATAAACACAACGTTAAAGAGAAATGTAGATGTTTTATTTGTTCATTTCTCGACTCTACTTTTCAAACATTGCACTGTTAAACTTTAGCTCTAGATTCATTTCAGAACAACTAATGAACATATCTGTGCAGACAAGTAAACATTGCTTCACATAAATTAACACTATACCTGTGAATCTAAAGAAGCTGACTGAAGAAAAGTTTACAAAACATACGAGCCCCAAATAAGACGTACTACAATTTATATTCAAGCTTCCCAAAATTCCCATTTGAGAAGCATTATTATGATTACTATTTGAAAATGAAGAATGATATAAGCTTATTTTCATTAGAAAACTCATAACAATGTAACAAAAAGATTGTGAAGCATCAAAACAGAATTGCAGTTACTTCACAGCAATATATGTGCAAAAAGGACATAGTAAACATGTTGTCCGTGAATGTATCTAGCATTTAAATTTAAATATTTCAAAAGTGCCAATTTAGGAAATACCTTTGTAAATACTGAAATACAGGCACTCAATACATTGTTTTGCTTATTTATGAATTATTATCATATCTGTACTGATGACTCTGCAACAGTACAATGAACTGAAGATCAAATACAACACAGTTTCTGTAAAAAACCTATTTTATATCAACACTGATAATTCAAATTAATACAACACATACACTATGTAATTACATAAATATTCTTTGTAATAAAACATCAAGGGAGCTCATAACATATTAAACTATATACAATTCCAAATGAAAGATGAGAACCCTTAGAAACAGACGGGAATTGATTACAATGATTGATAACATTTGATACCAAATTCTCCATCAAAATTATCATTTTACAATTTAATTGATCAATTTTGTTGCACACAAAAAATTAATAAATTTAATTTTTATGCAAAATGATGTAGATTACACACCTTCTCACAAAATTAAAACAATCTTCAATGTCAGACATATTACAGCCAACTAGTCAGTTAGTTAACTGATGCTCTCAAAACACTCAACTAGTCTTTGGTTCAAGGATCTAGAATAACAAAATTTCATATTCAAGAATACAACTTTCTACTTATACTTTGAATGGGCTAGTCCATTTTAATTTGTCCACAGATGGAAGGTCTTGATGAATAAAGTTACAATCTTGCTTGGAACAAAACTTTCCATATCTGCAGGCCTAAAAACAGAACAATACAACAGTCAGAAAGACAACTTGTAACAACAAGTGAATGTAAAATATGTATTTGGAAGTTAACACTGTAAATAATCCGTGAATAATTGGGGGAGGGGATTATTAAGCATTTGGGGTAACATATATATTTACATTTTTATTATTCATGAAGTTAATTCAAATATTAAAGCTCTACATATTTATAATCGCAAAATAACAGTGCAGTGACATAATAAATTCCTACAAAGGAGGAGGCAATGACAGAGAGAGTGAAGATTACAAAATAATAAAATCAATTTTTCTTGAATGTGATGTACGCAGCAAGATTAAATTCTTTTAATAGAATCTATGGTACAGCTAGTAACGTTTCATAATTTATTTACCAGTTCAATGAATAACTATTGCAATAAAACACTGATTATTCAAAGTAAATTAATCTGCAATGGATTTTTTGAGCAACTCACCTTTGGATGAAGGAACTTACAACTAAGATTACTGCACTTAGGGAAATAACGGCAAATTGGGGCAAAAGTATTCTTCGGCAGTAATGTGGGCCGAGGCACTAAAAATAAACACAACAATATTATTTTCATAACTGTAAAGGGACAAAATGAACAATTTTTATGTTTCTGTCAGGTATACATTTTATAGTTTTCAAAGCAAGGTGTACAAGATATACTCTGAAAAACAAGAAGCAAGCAAGATTCTAATGTTCATTATTACTTCCTGATTCAATTGAAAAACTTAAACGCCAGCTTTGTCCTTCCATCAGACATTTTACAATTTTAAGGAGTAATAAAAGCGATAGGTTGCTAAAACTACTTTCAATTTCCAGCAAGCAATACAGAGTACACCCAAAATAATGTGGTGAATAGATAACATACAAATCGACCTTTGAGCAATGAAGAATTTTACACATAATCAATATAAGATGAAGAAAAATGCATTTATGGAGGATATCTCCCACTGCCTTTGAGGCTAAGTAGTGAATCCTCTTTTGTAGCTACTATGGCAGTGACAGTAGATGAAAGACAGTAGCACTCAACAGGATGATAAACAAGTTGATCTACAAACGTATGTGGGAGATTAGGAGCCAGTCCATTATACACACAGTAAAACCCCATTGTAAGAGACCTTGTTAAAAGAGAATCCTGCTTATAGGAGACAAAATTCACGGTTTCGAGTTCAGTGGTGTATAAACAATATATTCATTTCTCGCATTTAAGAGACCCATTATAAGAGGTCCCCGCCTATTGTGGTCAAGATTGTATTCATTGCTATGCGGTTTTTCTTGCTTGTAATAAGAGGCAAAGCGTCGAATTTCCACCCCAGATGACTCAAGAATTTTGTCAGCGAGGTAAAGGTTGAAATACATACATAGATGGAGCAGGGTTTTGCAAGGGGGAGAGGGAAGAAGCAGGTGGGAAGTTCTCTTCAGTAAATGTCATTCTGCAAGTTTCAGGTCTCTTGGCAACAAGGGAGTCTCTACAGTGCCTAAATGTTTCCAATTGCTTTCAGTGCTGTGGATCTATTTTCTGCCAGTGAGTACAGAAGTTTATTTTACTTCAGTGCTTTCATTTGAGTTCAATTCAGCTGCTACATGGAGACACAATACGTTAGTACCAGAGAGTGCATTGCATTTGGACTACATGTGTGAATTTATGATGTTTTTTATTTTGTATGTTTGTTTTGTTGTAGATGCCATCCAAGCTCCCGATTGGATGACACCATAACAGCTGATTTATGTCAACAGACTCGATGTTTAAATTGAAGTATAAAGGGCAATTGCGGGGAGCTGTGGTGGAAACCTGGAAGGTACCATTAATAAGATATAAGGTTTAAATTGGTAATCACAATTATAATTCTGTTGTTGTATGAATGTGTTCAGCCCCTTTCTTAATTTAAGACAGCTACAATAAATACTTCCAAAAAATTTTTACATCACAATTTTATTTTATTTTATAAAATCCAATGACATTTCAGAGACTGTTCTGTCTTCTTTATTAGGCACATTTATTTTTAAAAATAGTTCAGAATAACAAAGCCAAAATCATGCTGAGGAGAGAGTTGGAAGATGTAATTTTGAAATTATTGTTATAAAGGGGGATGTGTTTTTGCAAAAAAAATTTAGTTTGTTGTCATAAATCTTCGTAAACTGATTACTATATTATATACTTTTACAATATTGTAATCTGAGCTTTTTCTATATTAAAAATTTCTAGTATTAGTCTCTTATTTCTAGAGTTCTACCGCTAAAATATGAAACTCAAAAATTATATATTATCTCTTTATCTTACAATACAATTTTGCTGTACTTTGAAACTCAAAAGATCTGGCTAAATGGGCTCTGGTATCAAGTAATTTAAGTTTTGTCAAGTTTAAAATAGTGTACAAATCATTCTAATCCATTAAAAATATGGTAACATTTCATTAAACACATCAAAAACCCATTTCCCACACATAAGAGACAAAATTCCATATCCCCAGGCATCTTTTATTAAGGGATTTTGCTGTACATGTGCATGCATGAATAAGAGCTAGAGAGTTGGGAGCAAAGAGAGGGAGAGGAGGAGGAGGAGAGGGGAGGAGGGCAAACAAGATAGAGTGGGGGAGTGGTTACAGATGTGTTTAAATTTTTGATTAAAGTATGTTTTCCTACGTTCCGTGATATAATTGGAGGAAAACACTGTCAAGTGTTATGTCTGTTAAAGGTCCTTGCAGATTGCACATTGTAGAAAGGACAATGAGGCAATACCAGTACAGAAAATCCTTGAAAAGGAGCTTTCTCCCCAAATTAGAGTGGTTCCCTAATGAAGATGGCATTTTTATGTATGATGAAGCACAGTGCCACAAAGACAAAAGTGTCTTCAAGAATTTGAAAGAAAAGCATTTATATGTTTTACTATGGCCACAACATAGCTCTGACTTGAACCCCATAGAAAATTTAAAGAATATTACTAACTCAAGACAAAGGAAATATTCAAGAATCATGGACAAACTAGAGGAGATCTGGTACCATGACAATTAAATTAAAAACTCTGGTGCAAAGTTGGTAAACATTGTAAGGACAGGATAAAGTTGTTGATTAAGAACAAAGGCACACTCACTAACAGTAAGTATTAAATGTATGACTGTAACATGTACATGAATGTAAACTTGAAATAAATGCAAATCGTTTCCAAAAAACGTTTTTAGTTCAATAATTTGAACACGTCTGTATGTTTTGGCATGGAGAATGTGTATAAAAAGTAGGCTCTTCTTTTCTCAGCGTTTACTTACCAGGAGAAATCAAAGTTCTCGGAGCGGCATGAACAAACGGGCAGTCCCTCCGAGTACAAGCAGAATTGAACTTGCAAAATGGATGAATGTACAAGCATTTGTCACCAAATGGGCACTTTGGAAAGGTCCTGGAATAAATGGTATGAATTATTTAATATCTTAAAGTTCAATATACCAAGCTCTCGATAGTGGTCAGTTTTTGTACCATAAAAAGGTTTGTAGCTCGTTGATAGCACCATACCTCTTCATAACAAATTAACAGTTGACCGACATTTTTATGCATTTAAAATTCAACATAATTCAAATTCAAGTGAACTTTTACAAAATAATCGTAAATTTAAAAATGTAAAAATTGCAGTGAAATCTGTCTTTGGCGGTCACCAATGGTTCCAGCAAAAATTGGCCATTAATAGATGAGGCCACTTAATCCTAGTTACGAGGCTAATGGAAGCACAAATCAAATTTGAAATGGAGTACATCTGGGATCATTTGCCTCCTCTCGACTAATACAAAGTCACGCTATTGACTAGTGAATCATTCAAGAAAATCACTTTCCTGGCCTTAAACAAGCAAAATAGATTGCAGACCAGAAGATGCAGTCTAGTTCACATCCTATAAAAACTTTTTGACAGCACTGATGGATACAATAACGTGCACAAATTGACACTAATGTAAATATTAACAATGTGACAAAAGTTAAAAAAATTATTTTTGAAATAACAAAAGAATACAGGAAGAATGAGTTGTTTATGTCCTCTTATAGAGTGCATTTAGCACTATCCCTACCAAAAGTTGAAAGACAACCTTTGGAGCTTTTTTTGAGAATATCTTGTTTTTGTAATTTTTTAAAATTGCAAATAATGCATGCAATATTGCATAAAAACTACTAAAATTTTCAAAAAATGTACATGACTAATTATTGATTCTTTTGAAAGAAAAATCTCTATCTTCAATTTTGTAGTTGTAGGAAGTCACATAAAAATATCCAAACTTTTGCAATTTTCAAAAATTCAGAGTTAACCATGAAAATTAGACCTATGCCACCTTTATAAGTGTATTTTACTCTATTCTTACAAAAAATTTTTTTTAGTCATTTAAAAAAAAAATAAATGAAAATATCCAGGTTGCTTCATGTAAAGTACTCCAAATTTTGAAGAAAGCTTTTTAAAACCACAGTGCCTTGAGTTGAGCCAGATCAACCAGGAATATCCATTTTGGAAAAAATCCTACATATAGTTTATGCGGAAATAGTGTTCACAGATTTCACAGTTCATGGACACTTTAAAAAAACAACTTTTGCAGTATCAAGGGACCCCAAAACATGTATTTTCTTTGAAATCTGGAAATCGATTTTCCGCAGCATTACATAACTTTCTCTGTACAACATATATACATACATGAGAAAGTAGAAAGTTCTCAGGAGGCCTCTTCAAAATTAGAGGTCATCTTATATTCAGGTAAATATGGTATTTACATGTGCCATATGGGAAATTTAAATGGAACTATAAAAAATGGCCATTAGTGGAGGTGACCAATTGAACAGATTTCAATGTACTTCTGCTAATAGTTGACATTCTATTTGCCTTCAGATGAGCTTTACAAAAATATAAATAATTACATAAACTGTTGTTTGGTAACCACTAACATTAAAATACAATGATTTTGTAAAATATATAATGCAAAAGCACGAATGAAGGCTTCCTGAGAAGAGTTTGTCTATAAAATGCAATAATAGTATGAGTATACTGAAGAATGAAAGAAGAAAACTGTCAGGAACTCCAAGGGATCTCTTGCTTCCATTATTAAAAGAACTTTGAGATTGTTTTATGTGCAAATTTATACATCATGGAACTGCAATATAGCAATAGATAAAATACCATCAATAAAGTTATGACGCAGACTGTAGAACTTTTATCATTATAACTTACTTGCAGGGAGAAACTGGATGATGAAAATTACACTTTGCTCCTAGGCGGCACGATGGCCAGTATTTACAGCGTTCCAAACTTTTGGGCAAAGTGCTAGAATCATTTGCATCCTCCACTAAAAAAACAAAACAAAACAATAATACCAATAAAATTAATTCCTACAAAACAAACTATACTTCTATTCATTCTATAATTAATTTTGATTTGGTAATTCCCCCCAATAACACTGGTATGAGTGTAAACACAAATGTATTGAGTAAAAATGTACAATCATTAATGTATGTGTGTGTGTCTATAAATATATATTACCAATACTAGAAATATCACCAATGATAAAAGATAAAATGGGGAAATTTTCATTGAAACATTCCAAATCTAAAAACCAGGAAGCTTTGTAAATGTATTTATTCATACTGGTTTCCCTAAACTTTTCTTAGTGTAAAAATCTGTTGTTCATTACAAGGAATCAATCTCATCAGCAAAATTATGATTAAATAAATATTACAAAATTCAAAGTTGTTTCAACATTAGTGTTCCAACAATATTCTTTCCTAAATTCTCCTAACCTCAAAATCTAAATAATATTGAGATAACAATATGTCAAATGGATGATCAAATAACTCTCGATCACCTCTGAAAGCAACTATTATTATCTCTAAATATAGGATAGTCAGTAGTTATATAAGAAATTGTTACCACTAATTTAATAAAAAAATAAAGAAATGTTAACTATTGTGTATTTATACAACCTGTCAATAAATAAATGATATTGATTTTTAGAAGAGTTAATCTTTGTCACTGTAGGATGGTCATCTTCAGAACTGATGCAGTAATATTTGGCAATAACGCACTAATAAAACACCTCGTGTCAAAATAGCAACATTTTGTTGGACCTAATTGAGGCTACTTTCCTTCAGATTTTCCCATTGTGTACAGAAGACTACTTTTTTTTGTTAATATTTTTTACAAATCTACAGTTTAATTAGGACTTTCAATGAATTTTGTACAAATGATTTGTAAAGCAAGAGGAACGTTAATGCCTACATTATATATTTTTAAAACTACTACCATCGTCCCCTCCAAATTCCTAATTTACTCATTTAAGTGTGCATGCTTTCAGTTCTTCCCACATATCTCTAAAACAGTGAAAGTGAATCAAATGTTCATGACAGCCCTTCAAATTTACTTCTAAATGCATTTTCATAGTGTAATTAGGTTTGTGCAATTGAAGGTGAACATTTTTATTGAACGTTTATTGCGAGGATGCAAGGAAGCATCTGTTTAAGAGTTGCCTGTACTCACAATGATAATCGTGGTAGGGTCAAGCAAGGCTGGGGTGAATAGTGTGGGGTGGGGAGGGACAGGGTGGGGCTTGGTGGTTGGGGTTGGGCAGGATGAAGGAGGAAGTTGCTGTATATATAGAATTCATTATTTTCCTGACAATAGATAACTATGATAAATAATTATTAAAAAGCAATGAAGGGTACTACAGCTAGTTTTAGTTGCGATATTTTCAAGGAAATATTAAATTCATAATTTTGTTGGAGATTGAAATCACGCACTAAAACTATGGTTTTAGTGAGGTACTTAATTATTTCTTAGAATGCCTGTTAGACATAAAAGGCTCACGATTCCTGGTTATAATTTCTATAATTTTCTGTATTTCTTAATTCTCATAAATTATTTCTGTATCTATATGAATGAAGAGGTATAAAGCATAAAATAACTCAGCTAAAACATTATGTGAACTATTCACTAATGCAGTGAAAAATCACGTATTGTACTTACCAGTAGATTCTACTTTATACACAATGGGAGTTTTTGCCTTCTTCGGAGTATCGCTTTCCACATTTACAGATGATTCAACGTTTTCCAAATCAAAATCTTCTTTGTTAGTAGCTTGTTCATCGAGAGATGTGGATCTTGAGCCAAACATATTTGGATCCAGTCCATCCAATGTTACCAGAAACTGGGGGCTGTAACATTGTTTATAGGTCATAAATCCTGCCTCGCCATTAAGCTCCCATCTCAAAATACCTTTCTTAAAAAAAATTAAACTAGAACTAGAAACATGAATATAATAAATCACCCCAAAACATTTGTGAAAATAAACAGGAATAACATTAGTTAGACCAATGAACCAAAAGCAAAACTTATTTAATTTTAGTGAAAAACAAGAAATAGATTATTCTATTTCTCAACCAATCAAGGAGTAGATGAAAACAAAAACAAACGTGAGAGAGTCGATATGAATTATATAAGTTGGCGTTTCCAACTGAAAATACTTTAGACTGCACTAGATTCACAAGATCGGCATCTTAAAGTATTTCCTGTTGGAATATACACGGACTTATATATGGCTTAAAGTACACGGAATAGGTAACCTTGACAATGGTAGTGTTAAGAGTATCCCAATATCCCTAAGAGCTATGTAGGCAGTAGCATAGCTACAGGTAGGGCTCCCTTTGGCAGGTCGGTCAAAGAGATGTTATATGAAGAAGTACTCCAATAGAGGACCTCAAAGCTAAGAAGGCTCCGGGGAGAAAACTCCAGAAGAGAATCGTGAAAAACATCATCAGCATAAGTGATTTTTCTGAATGGAGAGACAGACCTCATAGCTGAAGCACTCTGTCTAGGGGAGAAAACTTTGAGCAAATCCCGTTTGATGATGATTAATCCTAATTTTGTAAAGAAATAAAATGTTTTAAGAAAGGATGTTTATTGATACTTTAGTAGGTTATTTTCTACTCCCAAGGATACACAAGTTAGGTTATAATATTATGTTTAAAATTTATAATTATTACCAACTTTTAAAAAGAAATAAATGTTTTTTATTCAAAAATTAATAAAAAATAAATATTTTAATGATTGTCTATTGTGATATTTTCTGAATTGTAGTTATCTTTAGATTATAGACTATGAGTCTGAGAGAAGAAAATGTCTATTAAAAATCATTTGAAAAGTGAAACAATACATTTTAATTGTGAAGTACATTTTGTGAACTAATGTGTTTACTTCGCAAGGTACAGTATAAACCTCACATTATTTAAATTCCAAGATATTTAGTTTAACCACGTTATAACAGTTAGTCTGGTTCAAATGCAGGGGAATGGTTAAGGCCAACAACCGTAAACATTATACTAAATTAAATATTTTGGATTTTAACTTATGAGAAGTTTACAATGAACATCATGAAGTGAACACATTAGTTCAAAAAACCTTGTACTTCACAAATAAAATGCGCTGTTCCACTGTTTAAATTATTGTTAATAGACATCCTGTTTTGTTCTGAATTCTGAACTGATTGTCTATAATCTTAAGATACCTACAATTCAGAACACATGAAAATACATGTTAGAGGTACCATGCCGAGTTCCTATGGACAAATTTATAAGCAAATTTGCATATTCCAGGACAGGGACAGCTCTTTCAGCATCACAGATCTGAACTTCTTACCTCTCGCGGGGCATCCTTGAGGCTAGTCCGACTGGTGGGTACACTGCTCGCCCACTACCCACTGCGTCCGCACCTTCTGTGGCAGCACATTCCTCTTGATACTGAAGGATGTTTGCTCCACTTTCATCATCGGACATCTCTTCAGTGTTGGGCATGTATTGTTGACCTATAAATTACACAATTAGTTAAATCATCCATTCTACGTTATAATTCACAAAACCATGAAAATTATTTTTATTCAACCACGAGATGTTAGCAGCAAATTTCAACAACATAATTTCACCACCATCTTCCAGTTATACAACTAAACACAACAAAACTTTGATGATTAAGATATGTTGCAATAAAGAAAAAATATTTATGACAGCTATTAACGATACCAAGTCTATTTATTTACCTATTAATACACCAAGTTAATTTATTTTGAGAAGAATGAAATTCTACTTTGTCAATACTCCACTTTTGAAGCCACTTTCATATCTTTGCCTCCACGGCTTCAAAGAATCTCTTCAGGTAGAAGAAAAATAATGCTGTGCATAGGAATCCACATACACATGAACATAAATTACCTACAAAATACACTGTACTTCATAAAGTAGTTTCAAAAAACCAACAACATTGCTCTCTGAATATCTATATAAACAATAGTCAAAATGATAGCAAAAAGACATTCCACCAACCCTTGAAAAAAGGCATTTTATCACAAGAAAATTTTTTTTTCACGGGAGTTGTGTCAAAGATGGAATAAATTTTACTTCTGGAAAAGACCAAAGTTTTGCTTGAGTTTTGGTATGAAAAATAATTTATGAAATATTCATTTATCATGCTGTCACTAATTTAGAATCTCCAAAATTGGGAATGAGTTAAAACAATAGCTTTTAAAATAGAAAACAATGTAATGACATTGGAAATATACTTGGTATTAATTTATAAAATTTTTTGATCAAGTCATCTTTATACAACATTGGAGGGTAATAACAATAATAATTATTAATATAAAAATCTATACAACAGAAATCCACACTACTGACATAAGTTGCTTTGGTAACCACTTTACAATATATTGTAAATAAAAAAATATATTTAAGACTTTCTACTGCCATTAAATAAATCTTTATGAATTCTCAATACAATATTGAATATAGTAGAATACTTATTCCTACTTTTTTTATCAATACCGGAAGAAATTCTACCAATTTTCACTGCAACTTCACATGAAAATTACAAAAATCAATATCAGGATTTCCAGTTGTTCAAATCAGAGATTACAAACATTACTTATTAATTTAATAATTACATTTATCCAATTTGTACATAAACTAACCATTTATTTTGATGTTCCTTATTATAAACTGAATATATCATTTCTGCAAGAAATTTAAAAAATCTAATTAACTTATTTCCCAGTAAATATTAATGCAGTTAAAATGTATCATTTCATACGTTTAATTCAAAACTTCTCTTCTGTTCACAGTCAGATAAAGGATCAAATCTAATATATAAAAACCAATATTTGTTTGTACAATGGGAATATGCTTTTGTCTGTCGCACATAGATGCAAAATGGGGCGTTGTGGATGATGATTTTGTGTGTTTATGCTGACTGATGCATCCCTGAACAGAAGCTCTACACAACTCACCACACCCTGAAGTGTTAAGCATGTCTTCGCTATACATTCTGCCCCTGCATTTGTTAAATAATAGCCGGAATTATTACGTGAACATAATCTCGGAAAAATTAAATCAAATTTTTTCAAGACAGTGTCATAGCGAATGCATGCCCAAAGTTAAGGAAGAACATTTGATACTTGACAACATGTCCAAACCAGGACATAGTGCATACCCATACTCGCGAGAAAGTCTTTTATCTATTAAAATGTTTGCAAAGCTTAGCATAAAACATCATTAACAGTCATATAACCAGTAGCATGTGAAGTGTAATATATTGCAATAGCAACACACTGCTGGGTTCACTAGAAAAGTATAACAATGAACAATAAATAGTAGTGTTCATCAGTAAAACCTAGTACTCTTGGCTCCTATGTCTCCTCAGATGCTAAAATTTTCACTTGTGAATAAACTCACAGTTGATTCTCTTGTAACTTAAAATTAATATGCATTACATTTGCATTGGGTACACAGAGGAACAACTACATCATGCACATGCAGATTTGTAATCAATGCTCATATATCCCAAATATTTTCCAGCAGAGTAATATTTTGAAACCAATACAAATTTTTCACAAATACATCATGAGCTTAGGTCACACACTTAGGAGATTCTGGATTTAACGTATTAGAAGGCTGGAAAAAAATCATCTCTTTGTCATATGTAATAGTTTACTGAATTAATTTTTAGATGCTTGTTTTGTAATTCATGGAGGAAGAAAGCTTTCTTTCTTTCTTCCTCCATGAGTTAGTATTGCAAAGGAGTGTAAAAATATAAAAAATTACACCCAATACTACAAGTCATAAGTATACACATTAGTCTTTATGATTTATCCTAAATTGTTGATTATTCACTTGCAAAATCATGATACATAAAGATTTAAAGAATGTGTTCAAAGAAATTACGTTCTTGTAATTTAAACAAGTTATTCTTTATATTAACAGAGAGTGAAAATATGATTGTATTCATGAGAGGGACAATTTAAAACCTTGAAACAATGACAGGAGCTTAGGGGATTAGTCTCATGAGTGAAAATACTTTCTTAACTCTGATGTATCACACATTGTTTTATCCATTACTACAATAAATAAATGTGGCAAATTTTAGTTAAAATATTATTATTTATGCAAATACATAAACTGTATTGGCAGTGACATAAATTTCAAAGCAATACATCATTTTTTAATACACAAGAAAAGAAACTCATTGCTTATGTTGACAAGAACAAAAGAAATGATGCTTTAGATGGTAGTAATGGATAAAAATCTTATGCTCCATTTCAAAATGTATTACCCCTAAGTGCACTGAAAACACAGATGTTTTTGAGAAATTTGTATTCCACAAACAAAGGATTTCGAGAATATTCTACTCAGAACCGTCTCCTCATGCTTCTTACCCAGAATTCACTCCACATGCACCCCTAAAAGCAGAATCTCATTCTCTATTGTACCTTTCTCTGGTTTAGTGGAGGACACTTTGATGATAATCTTGTCATGACCATTTCCGCTGGAGACATGGCGAGTGGAATCAGGCTTGATGTCTGGAGGCAAAAGTGAGACATCCCTACACTTGCAATCTTCCAGTCGGTAATTGATGATGGATAATTATCATAATACAATAGCTTTATAACAGCCTGTGGTTTTACACTAGGATGGGTCCCCTTAATTCATTCAGCTTTTGGGATCGAATTTTACCATCATAAAAATCTGATCGCCATCAGTGACTTGTCAAAGTGTCTTGGATCAACACCAAAAATCAAGGGCATTCACCAAGAATTAAATCCTGGACCATATGCTTTAAGTATTACTTACATGCTATTGAGGCTTTCCAGAAACTGATATTGTTACGTAGCAGACACATTTAAGATTAATCAATTGATGAAAGGAAAATCTAAATTAAATGGAAAAGTTTAAAAATAAATTACCTCTTATATTTACCTTTAAAATAGTTTCCAAAATTAGAAGAACGATAGTCCTTTCTACTGTCGCACTTTAATGCAATTCAATTTTCAAATAAAATTATTATTTCATCAAGAATAACAAATAAATTACTGTTTATAATTGTAAAAACAGATGAAAACATTGTTAACATTCAAAATAAAGCTAAACAATCACAACTAAAAATTTGATTCGATCTTCATGTTATACTGTTCTATGAGAACTATATCCATTAACACAACTGTATTTTCTTAAATGTAATTCGAGTTTTTTCCTAAATATCTTGTTTGAAAAATACAAGATTGTCTAATTACATCTAGCTGGTTGGGAACTACGATTTTAGACAGTCTTTTTTTGTCAAGAATCTTAAACGCCTCCGAAACAATAAGCTGCAAAGGCAGTATAAATACCCCACACATTTGCCAGGTGATCCACACCAATATTTCTGATTGAGCTAGTGAAGAAAGAATCTAAATGGAATGGCATTGTAAAAAGCTAAACATAACATAACATGAAAATGACTAAAAATTGTTACCAAGATTTTGTTACACAAACTTTTTACCTACGATGAAGCATGGATTCTCAATTCAACACCCAGTGAGTGCAAATTAAGGTTTTGCAAGAGACCAAAACAAAAAAAATTCCCCTGGATGGAAGTCTGCCTACTACATCCAACAAAGATGAAATGCTTCAAAAATATATTTTTTTGGCCTAAAATCTTAGTAACTGTCACTCTCTTCAACACTATCAGCAGAAAAAAGATCAACAAGTTCGCAGCTCATAAGTTGATAACGTAATTTAAATTACCTGAATTTAAAGTTAATGGTGGTTAAGGTAAAGGTCTCAAACAAGTGAAAGACAGGAAGAAAATCTGGTAACACAAAAAGGACTGTTCTTTGGTGGTGTCTGATGAAAGAGTAAAACCACAAATTCAATGTGGAAAATGATTCAGGGCAATGTAAGAGGGTGACATGTATTGGAGGAAGACCAGAAGAAAGAAACAATGATATGTGTGACGATGAGGTTGGTAGCAACAAAAAGAATACTTTAACAGAACAAAAAAATAGTATAGGCAAAAAGATTTAACACGAGAATTTTCTAGTCAATTAAATAATTTGCAGTTTTATTTTGACTAAATAGTAAGAATTACTTCAAAACAAAAATCTCAGGAAGCCTCTTGAAAATTATGTGCTTTTTAATATTGAGGTAAATATGGTAATATGTTCTACATATACTCTTAGAAGCAAAATTCTTTTATAGGTATAAATAAAATGTTTTCAACATTCTTAACTTGTTCAAATGATACCCCAACTTAAATTGGTCAACACTAATCAGCTTTTGGAAGTAATTTTCATTCCATAGTATCAGATAAGAGATTATTTAAAAAAGATTTACCAAATTAAAATGCTCCACATCATTCATTTTAGTTGCTTTGTCACTGGACCAACATCTTTCAGATTTAAAAATACATAAGTTATAATGATCGTCTTTCAAATAGGTTCAATTGTACAGAGTCATGTGCCTCACACATAGAAACATACACTACATATATGTGCTTAGAATTGGAGGTACATGCAACAGAAAACATTCAAAGAAAAAAGACTGGTTAAAAAAAAACTTTCAGATGTGTTAAAACCAACTATTTGCAAAGCACAGACAATGTTAGCACTTTTTTTTAAAAAGGTTAACACACATTCTAATTTCCATTTTCTTTTATTTTCAAACAGCAAACTGTACTCACTATAATTCACAGTGAGGATAATTTTCTTGTCCGAGTGATAAAATTTTCTGATGACCACCCAATTATAAACTTTTCAATTACATGACATCATTACATGATAATTTGCCGAATTCATTAATATGGAAGAACGTGATATTGCATTTTTCTCAAATAATTATCCTCCTAGAAAACCCATAATACCTATCAGAGAAGAGAATTACGCTTTAAACTGGGAAATTTAGATTCACATATGAAAAATAAGGCACTTTGTATACAAAATTATCCTGTTAACAATATAAAATGTAAATGAATATAAGGACATTAGATCAAAATACCAAGCACATTTGTACACATTACTCACTAACTTGCGAAAGAAATGCAATCATGGAAAATTCAATCGCACCTTCAAAGTGAAACATTCACTGTACCAACACTAATATTTTAATGTTAGAATATTTCCTGACCTCAATCTTAAGTCCATAATGTATTCACAATAATAATCCCACCGACATTATTATTTAGTTTAGCAGCAATTGTTATTTGTGTTTTGATTTTTTCCACTCCACTATCCACATTATATTTCTCAAAAGTCAACATATAAAAATCAAAAACTGAGTTCCAGTGGTTTGCTTTTCAAAAATAAACAAAATAAAAATTAGAAGTCTTGACAGATGAAAACACTTTTAAAGGAACTACTATCATCTACTGCAGTAATGCTTTGCCCAAAGTATCAATGAAGGGTGAATCCCATAAGAATATGGTTCACTTTAATTTCTTTAAAAACTGTGGGAATAATTCTTTTATAAAAATTACATTAACAACAATTTTTCAAAAGTGTTAAATTTACTCTAATTGTATTAATTAATAATTAATTCTTATTTTACAGGAAATTTTTCATTTGCCTATTATTCTAGGACAGGTAAGGGCAAATTAAAAACCCTTTAGGATAAAAATGAGATCTCTTCAACATTTAAAATATTATCTTCTTCAAGAGGCAAGGTATTACTGCACCGAGATTGAAGATGGAGGAAATAATATCTAACACCACATTCATTCCAGTGACAGAAAATTCCAGAAACTTTTGAAATCAGTTTCTTACCTTCATCTACATCGTCGTCTTCTTCTTCTTCCTGTTTATAGGATTGTAAATGCCGATTAGGCAGAGTGACGCCAACGTTGTTTTCCAGTTTTCTGACAAAACCAGCATTTGTTCTCTGCCAAACATAAAATTATACACAATTGTAAACACTTACATTTTAAACATGGAGTTTTGGCCACAGAGCTCACTTTGACTGACACCAGTTTATAAACAAATAAACATTTTTTAATAAAACCACAGAATCACATTATAAAAAGTTTTAATTTTTTGTCAACCAAAATTAGCGCTGCGATGTGAGAAGATGAAAGAGTACTGGAGAAAGAAGGAAGCAACATGAAAGGAAGTGTTGAAATTGTCTCGTGATCCCTAACAAAGAAAGAAGTGAAAGAAACAATCAAAATTAATAATATCATATTACATATTAACATGTTTAAAATTTTAATACTGTCAATATTAAATGTTAATTGTTTAAAAACAAATTAATTCTGAATTACATGCTTAATTACTAATGATATATCCCCCACTTGGTACGTGACAAATACCTAAAAACCAATAAGTTGAAACATCATTAGAAAGTAAATTAGAATTAATATTGATCTGTTTATGCAACTGGTCCTTAATATTTATTGACAATAAAACAAAAGAAACATGCTTTTTACTAGAGTCCGCAAGTTCAGGTGTTTTGTTTCTCTTGTGACACTGTCCGTATGAAATCCTATTGTGGACATTCTTTTGCTTTCTGGAATGATATTAGTGAAAACACTATTATTCATTTTGTTCTTCAATCTTGCCAACATTGAGAAAGACCATTGTCAGGTATAGAGAGCTGTTCTTGAAAGGGATCAGAGGCCCTGATCAATAACGAGCCAGAATTCCTCCATAGCATACTGTCTGTTGGCATCAAACCAATAAAAGAAATCCAAATATCTTGTCTGGTATCGTCACACTTTCTCTTAGTAATTGTTAACCGCTACATGTACTGTACACAGGGCCATGGAAGTGGGTAGTAGTTAGAGAAGGCTAAATGACAAAGGATTCCTAACATCCTTCAAACCACAAGGAGGTTACCTGTAGTACTCACAGTAAAAAGTTATAAATAATAAAATAATAATAATAATAAAATAATAATAATAATAAAATAATAATAATAAGACGAAGACGAAGAAGAAGAAGAAGATGAAGAAGATGAAGAAGAAGAAGAAGAAGAAGAACAACAACAACACTTCCTGGCCTTGGAACCAAAGTTTTAACACTTCTTGCCTGATATCAAGCCTAAGCTTGCGGAGAAAGGTAAAAAAGATTGTGCCTTTGTGTTGTCCAGGCTTGTAGACAGGTTTCTAGTTTAATCAAGGCCAGGAGCAAAAAGGAAATTAAGAAAGGCAAAATGAAAATTTTCTGAAACAATACCAGAAGAACAGCTTAGTGGTTGCTTTTCTCAAAAATCTAAAAATTGTGACAATAATAAAAAGGCATTTAGCCAAACTTCCAATTTGTGCTTGTGCCACAAATACGCTACAACTGGCATCTGCTACTGGATGTTGATGATGATGCGAGTAATGAGCATTATCATGGGGAGAGGGAGAGGAGAGAGGAGAGAGGAGAGAGGAGAGAGAGAGAGAGAGGAGAGAGAGAGAGGAGAGAGAGAG